TTAATCATTATTATCATCGTCATTGAATATGTAACGCCACCGAGTTTTTTTTATCGTCCTAGAGAACTCTAATTGCGTGTCTGATTACGACGAACTCTTAGAACAACGTCGCGAGGAATTCGTGGTCGATCGAGACGCGGACACCATACGATTTCCGAGAAGTGACATTAACTCGAGAACGAGGCGCATCGCGTCATCACCGAACTACGTTAAATTACTAGCGAATGCCATAAATCGTCGATTGATTGGAATTCTCAAAGTTCCGCTGTATGTGTCGAAGAAGGCGAAGGATTTAAATTCTTATCGAATTTTTGTCGTAATCCGCTTCGCGAAAGGAACGGTGATGATTCAGTCCCCTGCTGTCTCGTCTTCGTTTTTCACGACTGTGCTAAAAATAATACCCGAAACAATAAGGCGATCTGATAACCGGGATATCTGCTTCGTGCTTAATGTAGGTTGGATTATTAATCTCGGTATATTGTGCAAAACCAACGTTTTCAGCCTTGGTGTTATTGATCCAAGATACATTTCTACGGCTTATTACGGAGTAAAAATATTTATTTTATATTGTGTGTATGTGTGTTATCAATTTCATGTCAAGATGGGATACTTATCAAATGTTTTGCGTTGATAATCGTGCACAAATAATACAGTTTTCTGAATGTTTGATTCACACACATTTACATACTTTTTAATTTATTTTATGATAAATTATGTTATATTTAATATGTACATTATTATTACTAAATATTATGTATGAATATTAATAATATTAATATGTGATTTGATATATAAAAAATTTAACGGTATTTATATATTTTTTTCAAATATATATTATATTACAATAATATAAAATGTTCTCTTTCTTTAGTACAGTCTAATGTTATGTTGGACTTTTTATTTTTTATTATAATTAATAAATTAAATTATTTACAGTTATATTCTTTTTCCTTTTTCTCTCTTTTTACACCTAATGTATTATACATACAGCAAAAAAATTCTTTAAATTTATGTAAGGTGTTACTTAAGATCGAATTTCGGAAATTAGAATTACTTAAGAGCGAATTTAATACGTTATGATTTTAAAACTTCCGACTGTAATTTCTATCAAATTTCTTTGAAACAGGTGTTGCAAAGCAAGTGTCTGTATTCAAGTATTATCACGTTATCGTGCCGGGGAAACAAAATTACACGACAAGTTTACGTTTAACTCTATTCGAACGGCTGTCTTAGATGCCGTGTGTCTACGGAGTAGCGGAGGCGAAAGGCGAGCTATAAAAGAGAAGTAAGAAGATTCGATCTATGTGATAATGAGGCTATTCCCGGTATACAGACGTATAACATCGATCCACCCATTTTACTCGCATCGGCGGTCCTGATCCGCGCCCGACTCGTCTTTTCGTTTTACGCTCCGACTGGCTTTTACTGCCGTTCAAATTCTCAATCGATGTAAAGGTGTCACGCTCTCGATGGGCCGAGCCCGATCGTTTATCACGCTATTCTCCGTGCCCTCGGTATGACTTTGGAGTCGATTTTCATCACAATTGGCTCAACGATTGTTTAATTTAATTTTCCCGCTTGTGTTAAAGACGACATCCTTTATTTATCTAGCTCTACTTATTAATTCAGATCTCGAAGATCTCAAAAAAGACAAAAGTCTTTCACGCCTCATTGTCAGCCTTTTACATTAGAGTATGCTCTCTAAATACTCTTGTAGTTGTAATTTCTACGCAAAAAGCGAATAAGAATAGCGTAACTCGATTTATCAGTCTTACAATGGTACAAAAGGAAGTACTTAGGAAAAATTTCTACACAAAAGCCGAATAAGAATAGCGCAACTCAATTTATCAAAAATAGCTTAAACAAAAGTACAAAAGGAAGTCTTAGGAAAAATTTCCGAGCTCGAAGAAATATCAGCGATGCTGATAATCAGTTTTCGATGTGACAAGGAAGTAACATTTTTTGAAGTTAATTTGTACTAAAAATCTGAATATGCAACATATAAAAAATTGCTATTCATTATTTTATTATAATTCTACATATACACACTACAAATACATTAGAGTATATTAGAGTCTATTGTCATTCGGCGTATCTCACTGCAAATCTATTGCATATGAAGTATCCCAATTCTAGTGCATTCTCTTGTGACTGTATTTACTAATCGAAACGCTTCAAAGTTGCGGGGTGAAGAAATACGACTGGAACGGCGCGTAAACTCCAATATCGACGTCCTCACGTCGTCGGCGGGATGTCTGTGCTCACATAATGGAGCGAACTTTACCCCTTTGTATCGTATGACTCTTGTTAGTCGTCGTCATTGGCGGTAGCTACGGTGGCGTTAAACGAAGAGCATCTCTAATGAGAAACTGAGTGGGATCTACCCGTAATAATGCAACGACAGCGACGACGTCTCGCATCTTATTGCATCTTACCGGCGTTACGGGACAATATACGTCTCGCTCGCTCGCTTTATTTAAAAAATACCGTGTTAATACAGCAGTGCGCGATTTTCTACAACATCGAGATGCGCAAATAAATGTCACGCGTGAAATTATGTTTGGCAATCATCAGATTAAGAAAACGCTTCATCGCTAAATTATCGATAAATTGACACGAAATAGACAGAATGCTTGATGGAATTAAAACAAGAATGAGCCGTTAATAATCTTTCTTAACGGTTTTTTTTAACTTTTTACAACTCTTAACTTCATTTATTTTTACAATTCCTTAACTTTTTTACAATTAGCTTTCAAGTTACTTTAATCTTCGAAATTATAATACGAGTAGCTCGTAGCTGTTAATTTATACGAGCTATTATTTTAAAATATTAATCAAATGTGATAAACACTTTGATAAAAAAAAATTAATTCCGTAATTTCAGTACGTCAATAGATTACTAAATTTTATAGAATTCCTTGATGTTTCTTAATGTGTCCCGAATTGTATCCTGATCCCAAGTTAGTTAGAGACGTATGCGATAGTTGCACCGATTAATGGCGCGTATTTGACTTGTCGTAAAAGCGGGATTATGACTTTGCTTGGATAAACGTTTATATCAAGCCTGGCGTGTTGCGGTGCAACGATACGAACAGCCGCGGATTATTTTGTGAAAGCGCATTTTGCTTAAACATCTCGTGAGGATCAAGACGTCTGCGAAACGATTTTCGCAGGATTAATTTACCAGATTTTTAATAATGCGATAATTCTTAGACATGTTAATTGTTGCAGATACCTGAAGCACATGAAATTATTAAACTAATCTCTAATTTTCTCTTTGAACACTTTGGAATAACCAATAAAATAAAAAATATGTTCTTCCAAATTGCTTAAAATCATAAAAAGAATAAAATGGACGTTATCGTTATTTGCGTAATGCATATAATAACATTTAAGTAATTACATAACTTTTATTAGCGAGCAATCTTTTTTTCAAGGTATATCAAATGATTGTATGAACAAACGCTTTGACGTACAATATAACTTTAGTACGAACCGCGTAACAATTTTACGAACAACAGTTTTCTAAATTATTAGACATTTATGTGAGCGGGTCAATTTCTAAAAGTGTCGTAACTCTCGAATCGTTTTCTCTCTCCGAAAAATTCAAATGGTCAATAAAACCGAAGATAAACCCAAGCGTAGATTTTATTTAAATTTTTGTGAAGCATAAAAATGTTCTTTGAAATAACAAAGCGAAAAAACACCGCAATTATTTCTGATTTGTATATATCTGCACAATATTTTTATATACAATATCGCTTTTTTAATATAAATATTGCTTTCTAAAAAATATTGCTAAAAAATATTGCTTTTTTAATTACTTATAGTGGTAAAAAAGAAATTAATTGATTTCAGAAACGCTTACTCCAAGCTAATCCAGCGTTTAATGAAATTTGCACGTTTCTAATACAAGTTCTCTTCCGGTGAGCAATATTTCCATTTTATGATTTTCGGGGCGGCTTTACGCGCTCGTTATCGGAGGTGGGAGGTAGCCTGTGTAAAACGCTTGACGAACGTCGGCTGCGTACGGAAGATCCGGATTCACGCCGGATTTCATATCCCTCACCGTAACACGTAGAATATTCGTCTGTCCGTGATATCTGTAAACGTGTGCGAAACTTGACAAGATAATACGCGTTTTGATGGAGAAGATTCGCACGCAAAAGCGTCCGCGCTTCGAACAGCGATGTAGAAGTGATTGCGAAACGTCGGCGTATACGATATTCCACTTTAAAGAGAAACGATAATCGAAATTTTCTTTTCCGCCTTCCCACCTATCCGCATATAACTCTCTTCTGCGTTGAAACCGCCGGGCTTAAGTTAGATTGAGCTGGGATAAAGATGTCGAAGCACAATATACGACGATTGTATATAGATCGTTGAAATTGAGACTTACAGACGGGTATAGTTTATCATTTTACTACTCCAAGCGCGTTTTGTAATTTTTAAATTTGTATAAAACGTAATTACATATCAGAAATGAACAATCTACAAGTTCTGCAATTATAAAAAGTTATATAATACTATTCAACAACAATCAAAAAATGAACAAGAATGAAGGTAGTCGCGTAATTTTTTGAAGCGCTGAATACAATCCTGTTTACCAAATTGCTCGATCACGTCACAATTTTAAGAAATTTGCGGTAATAGATAAGAACATAAGAGATATTAAGAAGAATATAAGAAAATATAATGCGATAAAAGCGGTAACTTTGCTAGCAAAGAGGTTCATGCTAGAATATCTTTTGATCATCCACTGGTGCAGTTAGACCACTCACTTTTAAAAAATACGACACGCGAATATGTTAAAACACGTGGGACTGTGTACCTTGACGTAAAATTAAGTGAACACACACACAGGCCCCACATTCGAGTGCAGCGTACTGCAAATGCGATTGGATCGAGCGCATATCGCAAAGTGGTTCGGCCGCGATAATATTTATATAGATCTCGACATGCCTCCTAAGAAATCGGTTTTTCCCCCCCTCCTGTTTCAGTCATAGTGATGTGCGCTAATTCAACGACCATCCGGGACATATTGCTGGCTGCCGACGAGCTCGGGATGGTAGACTCGGGGGACTACGTGTTCTTCTCCATAGAGCTCTCCTCCAGGTGAGTAAACTCGCAATTTTATCACTAAGAGTAATTGCGCGTGTCATTCGTTGCGGCTTGCGGCGTGAATAGCGCGTTATTGCGAAAGTTCCGTGCTGAATGAAAAGTAGTGATAAACGTGTACGCGGCCATAAATAAAGATCAACGATGTATCACGAGCATTTAAATAAGACAAGACGTAAGATAATTTCATGTGTACTTTGAAACACACAGAATAGAGAAATAGAATTGTATGGAAAAGTTGTGCTTATTTCAGACAACAGGATTAATTTCTTTTTTACAATGTACCGGGAACAGAACTATTTCTTCCTTTGAGTACAACATTCTTTCCCTCATTAATCTTTCTCTTTTTCAATCTGCAAGACATTTCGCCCGGGATATAAATGCGTATAAACATTAAAATTTTTGCGCGTTACGCCGTTTAATGAGGCAGTTGTGAAATATCATTCGAGATAGCTTGTGCTATAAATCAGCTTACGACGCACGAAATCCATACGGACATGGGTCGCATATCAAAAAACTGGGGCATAAACAGGAGGATGCTTGTACAATAGCGCGTGTCTCGGTCACCAAAGCCGTTTTGTAATTGAAACGAATGTGGTGTCGCAGTCGGTACACACGACCTGGCCCCATATAGAAGGAAAATTGGCATGAAATACGTCTGTCTTCAGTACTCGCGGAGGAACGAGGAGCAAATAAAAAGAGATTAAAATGGGATCTGACGACGCTGAGCGTTTCTTCGTGGCAGAGCGAGGTATATACGTCCGTTCGTTCTATAGAGACAAAATTATTCTTTATTCGTGTAAACTGAGAACGTAAGAAATAAGAATACAATTTATTTGTAGAAATTATAAATTCACGTGAATATCTTCTATTATTAATGAGATCTCATCGCCCTATATTACTCAAGATTTTTCAATAGTGATTAATTATCTCGATTAAATAACTAGAAGCAATTCTGCGGTTATCTGGAGCAATATGCTAATATTAGTTTAGTTACCTAACGTAATATGATTAGGATGACAATTACATTTACTTAGCTCGCTCTGCTACCTGGAAGCTCATTTTATACTATCGCGGGTCAAGTTTTAGAGTCTAGTTCAACCTAATTTATCTCTTGCCACATCGTCGCACGCGGTCGCTTCGCGTGGGATCGCGAAGCGGTTTACTTCGCTTAGATAAACTTGCGTTTACGTTACCTCCTATATATACACGATTGAGAGCGTTAATACCGTCCAATGCGCTCGCATTCACAAAGAGACTGCCTGACATGCGATTCACCGATCCGATCCCTTCTTTCGTATAGGATAAAACAATCGAGTTACCGCGTTAACTTTGTAAGCGAAAAGAACGTTCCTTAAATGTTAGAGAGAAATTTGACCAATAAAGGTAAGCGCGTCGGACGCGGCATTAAATTTCCCGTTTGTACAAAGTGCGGGTATATCGTACGATCGCGCCTGTTTAACGAGGCCTTGAAAAGCTTCGTGAGCGGGCTTCGTGCCCGGGAAATTGCTAATCCCGGAACGTCGTAAACGTAACGTAGTACGTGATTCTTCGCGATCGTAAGGAACTTACGATCGCATTCTCGGATGTTATTTTGTTTCCTTGGTGATCCTATTCGGTCATGTGTCTGCGAACGAAATCAAAGACGGGAAGGACAGATCTGGAATTTCAATTCAAATTCGCGCGTCGATGATCGTCCGGTTACATATGTCACAGAGAAGTCTAGCTGTGAAAACAAAACAATTGTACTCAATATCAATATCCCGTTTCCACATTTCCGCTTCGTTCTCTGTTTCCCTTATGGCTCTTGTTAATAAAGGATATCGCGCGATTTCGAGGTCGAGTGGAATTCAATCCGTTCAATCGGAAACCTCAAACCGCGGCCCTTCATTTAGATTATAGAGTCAGAATAGACACAGCCGTTGATCTATTGTAAACTGTATAAAACTATTAAACTCCCTATAAACTTCGCCATTGTGCCAGTAACAGAGAAACAATAGAACAGGAACGAAAGATACGAGAAGCGAAAATTTTCGCACGAATCCAGCGAAATCGTGATCTCGTATTTTTTTTTTTTTTTTTGCGAAGCCAAAAACGATAAAATCTGATTTAACGAGATTCATGTGAGATTTAAAACGGGCATGGAATGAAAAGCAGCTTGACTAGCTCGTTGCTTGAGCAACGGATTGGCGTTGACTTTAACAGTAATTGGAATTTTTATTCATCAGTTTTTTTCCGGCTAGGAATTAATCCGATAGCATTCCTACAATAGCCAGTCCGTTGCAGATGACAAAAAAAAAAATACCACGCGTCTTTCAGATTTCACGTTCATTAGGTGAAGAATGTATCCGGCAATTTTTTTTTCTCGGATAATCGAACGTTCTCCGACGTTCCTCCTATCGTAAATTAGGAAGTCGTCGGAATTTTCAGAAAGCCGAGCGAAGAAAACTTCCCGGCGCGACTTGAGATTGCTTTCGAACTATGCCGATCTTATTCGCTCGCCTTAAGCGAGCGAAAGAGACGTGCAAGATGCAGACAGAGATAAAGAAAAGAAAAAATAAACAAGCGGGACTTCGTCAGTGCGGACGCCCACGGTGACGCCGTGTTATTCCCAACGACGTCACTTTATTTAATCACGCGCCCCGCAATCGCGTTCCGCCGCATCGCCCGCGTCACGGGCGTTTTTTCAACACGAGAATTTTCGCGCCTTGTAATTCGAGTGTTACACGCGTTACGTACGGTTGATGTTTGTGGTTTTTATATGTTCCAATTATAATGTAACGATCGAGCATCATAAAATGAAAGTTATCTCTGGTAACGGTGCGAAAGCGAAAAGCTGCTCGGTCATGGTACAGTTAAATTGATGTTTCACCGAAATATAAAATTAATTGGGTCGTATATAATGTGTCGTTTTAATATCAACAAGTTTAGATATAATATTCGAGGAAACATAATGTACGAGTGGCATTTACAAATAATTGTAAAAATCCAATTGTTTTTAACAATTCTCAGTATCTATAAGAAATTATTTTTACAAACTCATTTCAATCAAATAAAAAAAGCTTAAAAGTAAAAAAAAACTTTAAGTTTAAAATATAAGAAACACTTTTAAGTTTACATTCAGGATGTTAAATTTAATATTTTTTTAAATATATCTTTTATAATATAACGAAAAGCGAAATTAAATTCTTATCGAAATTTATACCTACTACAAGTTGCTTTTACTAATGCAATGTCATATCGGCTTTAATATGGTAAAGTCATTATTAAGTATATTAAATAAAATATTCTAATAATTTTATAAATTAATTATATTCTTTGCTATCATTTTTAAATATGACACGTAGTACTTCGTTATTAAAAGATGCTTACTTTGTAAGAGTATTGTAATAACGTTTTTATAAAAAAAATTGAAGTCTTTGAAATCCGATTATATTCAACGATTCGAACGTGTAAATCTTTTTGTTTCATAATATCATACGTTTGTAAGAAACTTATCATTGCGAAATATCAAGTGAACGAATGTATTCTAGCGATAATGATTCCAAAGAACCATGGAGAGTCAAAGACGACACTGACGAGAGGAACGAGAAGGCCCGAAAGGCTTATCAGGCCTTGCTAACGGTAACGGCACGCACCCCGGACAATCTGGAGTACCTGAATTTTTCGCGCGAAGTCAAATCCCTGGCTCTGGACAAATACAACTACACCTTCGGTGAAAGATCGGTTTCCACCTTCGTGACAGCGTTTTACGACGCCGTGCTGCTTTACGCCCTCGCTCTTAAAGAGAGCCTGCCGGAGAAGCCGGGTGAGGTCAACCTAGACGGTGGTAACCTGACCCGAAGAATGTGGGGAAAGAGTTTCAAGGGTAAGTTTCAGCTTCTCTCGTTTATCGTTGCTTGCATTTATAGCGAAAGTCACTCGCGTCAGTCGCGACTTTAGCGAAAATGCAGGATAAAATCGAGACTTTGCTGAGTCTAAAAGTTTTGTTGCATGCAGATCTGAAAATAATTTTGTTGGAAATTTAAACTGGTTGCTAGAATAGAATCAAAACAGCAATGCTCATTATTTTTGAATTTTCATTTAAAATTATTTTAATAATCCAACAAAATTATTTTCAGATCTGTATCCAACATAATATTTAGACCTTCTAGTAAAATCATTCTTTTCGTGTGGAAAAGGATGAATAAGCCGAAAAAACTATTATTAATTAGAGATGCTTTGGCCAGAACAGTTAAATTAATTATCCCGATGAATCGTCACTCGCAACAATCTGTCATTGACACCATCATGGCTTTCCAACTTTTGTGACTAATGGAATCGATTTACGCATTATCATCGTTTTCATCCTTCTCCCACCTTCTACTTTTCCCGAATATTTGCTACACATACGTTTCAGAGATGTCCCACGCATTTTTTTTTTTTTTAATTATAAATTCTTCAATCCAGTTTGGAAGCGACTCTCTCAGAAAGTGTTTGCGCTTGCATGGAAATGAATTTATATTATTCAAATATTTGTCAGTCTGAGTTTACGTTATTTTGTCTTGCAATATGAGAATGCAAACAATTGCTCTTTGTTCTGGCTTTATGTCTCATCTGCCAGACAAGGTACTTTGAAACTACCTTTTATTCCCTTGTATACGCCATTTCTCCTCGACCTTCGATTCTTGAGTTTTCCAAGAGAATTTTATATAGCTGACATAGCTAAACGTCGAACGGAATGCAAGATTGCCAGTTCGCTTTGTGTTTTAATATGTTCTGTTCTTGCCCCGCAATATCCTCCTATATATGCATTCGCACACAGCATTGCATTTCTATATCGGTTATCTCGAACTGCATGCAGCGATTGCCCACGCGAGATTTTACCACTGCGCGAAATGAATGAATTTTTCGAGAATTAACAATTCCACAACTACCCGCCGCGGCTGTAATATTCAACTTTGATTAAACCCCACTGAGTAATCATAAATATGCAACGTCGTTTTATTTTTGCATAATTATGACCAATTCCAGGAATAACTGGCGACGTAAACATCGATGAAAATGGCGACAGAATTGCGGACTATTCTCTACTAGACATGAACCCGGAAACGTCCAGATTCGAAGTAAGACATCTCCGAAAATTAAAATCTATCTATGCATAATTGTAAGATACAATTTTAGCCTAAGTTCCGCAATTGAAATCATTTAATTTACAACAGTGCACGGTAAATTGCAAGCTAAAACTGAGTGACAAAATCCGATGAGTATTTGCAGTATGATAATAAATTTTAGTTAGGCCGAGAGCACATGAAATGCATAATAGAGTATAAACATAGCATAAGACCGCCGGTCTAATGAGCATCCAGCATAAAGTCGCCATACTAATTTACATAAGATTCTCATTGGTTCAGCGGTCTTATGTTATGCTTATCCTCTGGTATGCATGTGCTCCCGGCTCCCTTATTTTTGAGACGCGTTGTTTTGTTCTATAACACATTCACGAACTTGGTTCACCCTCCTCTACGTTTTTCATCTTATTCATGAAATTCATAATTCTCATCTTCTCATAAAAATTTCTCGCAGATTGTGGCCAATTATTATGGCGCAAATAAAACATTGGAATATATTCCTGGGAAGAAAATTCATTGGGCCGGTGGTCGTTTAGAACCACCCCCGGATACGCCTACTTGTGGATTCGACGGGTCGTTATGTCCTGATAATTGTGAGTGGGTAATGCTTTTTTAATTTAAGTGTAATAACAAATAAATAACATGCAATATTTAAATTGCGAACACGATAAAAATAAGCAATCGTATGTAATGAGAAATAAAATAATTTCCATATTTGCATAAATTTTATTCACATTTGGTTCCTAAAAACATCTAATACTTAACGATACTATTCGAGATAAAACATAGAACTTTTCCTTTTCGTAATTGCGTCTCTCTCTCTCTCTCTCTCTCTCTCTCTCTCTCTCTCTCTCTCTCTCTCCCCAAAAAGTATATTTTTTTTTCATTTAAATTAATGTTTGCTACAGCTCTTCCGGGATACGCCATTCTCTCCATGGTATTGAGCTCCATCGTGGTCGTTCTCGTCGTCGGTTCAGTATTTATTTATCGGTAAGTCAAGTTTTGCTTTTAAATTGTAATTTTATATATCTTTTATGCGAATTTATCGATATTAAAAGGTTCAGTATTTATTTATCTGTAAGTCAAGTTTTGCTTTTAAATTGTAATTTTATATATCTTTTATGCGAATTTATCGATATTAACAACGATATAGATACCATTATTACTTTCCATAAACTGAAATTTAGATATTGAGAAATAAAAAACGGATACGATAAAACGAGATACAATATTCCAACCGGACGAGCGTACTTCGTGAAGGAAAAAAAAGATATCTGTAAAATGAATGTATTGTCTGTGTAATAACAACCAGTGAATAATAATTTCAATTTCAAATTGTAATATCATCGTTGACGCGTTCTCGGTTTAAATTACAAAATGGTTTATAGTGGCCGCGCGCTCTCTTTTTCTTACTATCTTTTTCTCATTCACTTTAATTGAAAAAGATTAGCAAAATTATTTTCTACTGGGTATTGTGTTTCCCAGTAGAATTGCGTTTGCTGCAAAGCTTCCTTATTAAGCATATCAATCTACAACAATGTTATCAACCAGCTAAAATATTTCAAGGTAAAATAAAAAATTCTATCGACGAGTCACTTTCTTTAATCAGCAGATTAAATAAATAGATGATTTTTAAATAATTAAAATTGTTAAATAATTTACACGTTTAAAATGTGCACATTTAACACTCAGATATATTTACCGGTATTCACGCTGATACGTGTTATTTAGCATAGATTCGCTATTAGAAATTTAAAAGGCATCGTTGCCTCACTCGCTTCTTCGTGAAGAGGTAATCTCGATAATCCCCCAAGTAGCACACGGCTAAGTGCATATATACATATCAAGGAGGACGTGTAGCTGAGAAGATCCTTGGCTTCTTTGATGCGCGGCAAACGATTAAAGGGGAGTAAGGCAAGGAGAGGACGAACAAACGAACGAAGCGAGACACTTATCCACGCTGAAATTTCTCAGATGCTGCTGGTTAATCGATTTAATACCATCTGTCCGACTCTACTTACTTGACTCGGTTTAGTCTCTTCGAGTTGTCAGCCACGAGAACATTTTCAAGAGCTTAAATGAACTCTTTTCCTCTATTCTTCCCAAGCCCCGAAATAATTTAGACAAATGGTATCTCGCAGAAATGTAAAAATTTCACAAGTGAGATTAACTGATAGTTTAACTCAACAATAAATCGTCACACTTATTTAATTAACATTTATACCTACCATAAAAAATAGCGATAATTCTGAATATATCGAGTAATGAATTAAAAATTTCCTGAATTTGTTTAAGATTTTCTGATATTAAAAATGATAAATAAAAAATGCCAATGTTGTCAAACTTTTGAGAAATCTCAATATTTTGAAAGCAAATGTCATCAATAAATGTCAACATTTGTCCGATCTCAATGTTACATTTAACATCTTCAATATTATAATTTCATCTAATAATTTCAATATTATGTATAATTACGTAAATTTGTAATTTCAATATTACATAATTAATGTTGCATATTGGTAATTATGCACAGTTTAGACGATTTATAATGCGTATTAGAATTTACGACAAAATTTTGTGGTAATATCTCTACTCCTGTCATTATTATAAAGTATATTTTATAATATATTTACTGAAAGTAGATATAAGTAAATATAAAATACAAACAAATTGCTTATGCATTCGAGATATTTTACTAATGCCAGATTACACAAAAATGTCAAAAAATTAAATATAAAATTTATTAAATTAATATAAAAAGTAAATAAATATATAACAAAATTCACAGTTCTTACAAATGCCACACATTTGGCAAAACATATCGAGAAAAGGGGATTAATTACGCAATATGCGACATAAAATTTGTGAAATTCATTGGGAACGATATCAGATTTTCCATTGAACAAATTTCGATTAATAACAACGTTAATTCCAAGCCCAGAATTTCGCAAAAATTGTGTAAAATATGTTTGCAAGTTTATAATAATATATCAATATGTAATCGTTAAATTTCGCAAAGAAAAAATTAATATTTGATTATTGACTCAGCATTTGCATTTATACGTATTCTCATATTTAATAACATTTTTATTAATAACAATCAACGATTATTTTTAAACATGGAATTAAATATAAAAGCTATTAAAATTTATAAAAATCTCTTTAAAGCGAATACTTTTAAACGCATTAATTTAGCAAATTTTATTTTATCATACATATTCTGTTTTGGTGTAATGTAAATATTTGACATTAGCGTTACATAACATTTTACTATTATAATTAATGTTGTCATTAAATATTTTTATAAAATTTTAATATAACTTTATAATATTTATAACTTCAGGATTACATATTTTGAATTTATTACATAACTAATATCTGATATCTTCGAATCATAATGATCCCTTCGTATTCCTATTTATCCCTATGAATATCCGTATTTCCTATCCATAGTTTTATCTACCTGTATTCCTACCTCCATATTCCTACATATTCATATTTCTACCGTATATTCTATCCGTGTGACATTTCTACTTACTCGTATCTTTAGCTAATTGGGATTATTCGAAGGGAAGTGGAATCTTAATTGGGACTTATTACACAATCAAGTGAAATTTAATCCTACACGTCTTTCTTCCAATTATGCACGATTTCACATGTACATATGTGTAGAAGTGTGTACAAAATTATAGGTCTTGTTATCGTATTATATTATCCCGTCTTGAATTAATATATAATTAAAATATTCTATATAACTATATATTTAAATTAATTACCCAAGATTATTCTGTCGACGCTCGATACTTCTCTTAGGCCTTTTTCTTTCAGGCTATCTAGATTGTCAATTTCGTAGGACTATCTCAACGCGATACTCTTCGGGTTACTTTCCGAGTTGCATAGATAAACGATATATTAATTAGTTGGAATAGACGATATTTTCGTACGATACAACATAATTGTTAGGCTAATTATTACCAGCTCCATACTCCTTCGACGTTACACTCCCGAAAACGCGGACAATCGCAATCGCGTGATTGGATCACGAAACTCCTAAAATTAAAGCTAATCATGTTTGACGGAAACAAAGTAATTACAATCGCATGTGGATTAATTATTTAACACAAGCCTTTCCTTCTTAAAAATCATTAAATACGTAATATGATAATCGCTTCGAACAATCATAAGATATAAATGCGTTCAGTATCTTTTTGGTATTTGTCGCGATCGTATTCCGAGGGTTAATGCGTGATAATATACGGAGTGGTCACCGTTATCTCTCGAATGTCGGTGAGCGAATGGTAGCGCGACGACCTTGTGTTATACGCCACAAAAACAAGCATCAAGGCCAAAGCCTTAGGGCAACCGGCATATTGACGTCACGAAAAGTTCAGCGTTTTATACAATAAAGTTTTTACTTAATTCAAATATTCTACATTCCTTACGTTCTCAATTAATTTGAAGCGAATCATTGATGCCGATTAAATTCAACGTATACTCGGAGAAGGGAGTGAAAGTTCGTTCACGTGTATACTAAGTGAATAATAAATTAAGTTTTAATAACTTTCTATACTGTTACGATCGTGAACGTAAAATTACAAGAGATAATAAATTTCATACAAATTGGAGCACACTATGCTTGGCTTAACATTAAGCTCGGTATATTTGACGGCGATCTGCTTTCGGTAATTATTATCGTCATTCTGCCTATCCGGTTCTTCTCCGAGGTTTAATGCGTACCGTCTTGCATTATACCTTCGCTTTACACACGTCGTATATTTTCGCGGGATCTTAATCAGGGATGCAATGGCTTAGTTGCACAGTTTTACAACTTGCTTTGAAGCGCATTACGATCTCTCTGCTTAATAGAGTGTACTATTATTATCGAGCAATATATCTATCGCTTCGATCATCGAACATCAATTTACCGATATCTTTAAAGACCTCTGTCGAAGTTTGTTAAACGGAAGTATCTTAAAGAGCTACAATAAATTTAAACCACGAGCAAAATTATTCGCTTTACGCGATATTTTTATTAGAAAGTGCTGAAATAATTTTATAATTTACGAGATGCAAATGCCGGTGTAACCCGAGTACAAAACGCTATCAGTCACATTATGCAGTTTGTGTTTGTCTTCCGTTTTGTAGGAAAAATGTCTTTCCGACGAGCAGCCACATATGCGTTTCGCTTCGAAATTTGCCCCGAAAGCCAAACACTGCAATGTGTAATACTGCATACCTATTCGTGAATGTGTTTACTTCGTAGATGAATTTACTTCGCGAAAAAAGCTAACATAGTCGCCGTGCTTCGACGAATACATTGGCCCGATAATTCGCTAAACATACGATTAAATATTTGAGAGAATTTCATCAAAGGCCACAGAAAGGTGGACGTACTGCCGATAACATTTTTTTTTTAGCGGCGTATGTTATTAGATAACTGCCGGGGATTAAAACCGATACATGCGTACTGAAGTACGCAAAATATCGAATTTCAATGCTGCACTGGAAATGTGCGCAATTCAACGATAGAGATGCACAAAAACAATCCACGCGTTTATTCGCGAGAATTTGCAGTGAGTTATATATGTTTCTAAATCTCTGGAATCGATCGTGAGTTCCGTGAAACTACCCCATATACGTGTCGCGAACCCTAACAAAATACGTAGGGTCGCGCAAGATTGAGCTTTCGTTGTTTGCAATTCACCCCACGTTTGACGATGAACTTTCGAATGAATATATCGAACTCATTTAGTTCGGGAAATTCCGGACGCCTTTATACGCGGAATAATATCCCGCCTGGGACAGATAGGCCGTGTGGTTATGAGATACGCCGGCACGTAATTACCTCTTGCGCTGTTCGCAACGTGGTATACGCACACCGACGCGCCGCGCGGCGGTTGCGAACTTGTTAGTCGTATGTTCGCACACGTTCGCTATACCATCCTCGCAGATATCGGGTGAAATATACCGAACGACCATACATACATGTACGTACGAGCGGTACGTACAGATTCATACACACGTGCACGCGCAAGTTCACCAAGTTGACAAATTGCATCTTTGTAACGGACGGGAGACGTCGTGGAAACATTCCCGTTATGTACGCGGCATGATAATTGCCGCTGATAAAAAGCATCTCGTTAATCAGCGAGGGAAAAGCGCTCTCTTTGTCGCGAGGGAAAGAAAGATAATGCGATTGTCCGGAATTAATCCACGGACACGGACGTTTTAAGCGCGCGGCTGGTTTATCACGCGGCCGTAAAATATTGCGCAAACCATTTTTTTTTTTAACGCGCCTCGGCTGTGACTCTCCATCGGCAAGAGTCGTCCGCCGATAATACTGTCGTTTGTGTTGCAGGCGCTTCAAACTGGAAGCGGAAATTGCCTCCATGACGTGGAAAGTGCATTGGGACGACGTAATCGTGATGCCTAACGTACAATGGAAAACGAGGGGCTCCATGTACTCCCTAATCGCGAATAAGTTTCGCGGCAGTGATATGGTAAATATGATGGGAAACGTGCGAATTCTCGCGCGTGATCTTTGTGCAGGACATATATAACATTGCCTCGCGCGCGGTAATAACAATTCGATTATCTGGGATCTCGAAAAGTCATTCCGAGCGGATTGGGCAAATGTTTGTCGCAACGAGCTACAGTGGATAAAATAAATAACGATCGCGATGGGCGATCGAATTTTCATTCGAGCGCTCATCCCGACAGCGTTTATTTATTCCAATAATTTTCATTCCTGAGAGAACCTGGTGTTCGTACCTTAGGGCACAATCTCCAAAGAAAGGAAAGAGGACAATAGTAGAAAGTACTACCTACGCGAGTAGTGCTTACCCACTTCCGGGAGCATCCCGGAGTAGCAACCATAAAGAAGACTTTATTCCATTGTACGTTATTCTGTGTTGACGCGTTCCTTATCATTTTCTTTATCTAGCGTTACGGTGCAGGAGCAAAAGAGAAATTTTTTTTTAAATTTCATACTCGTTTCTCCACTTACAGAACGAACGAAAGAAAGAACGGAAGGAAAAATAAGTGCCACTTAGCCTTGATTTTACATCTAGATTCGATTTGACGACAGAATCTTTGACGAATTTGCGCTGAACTATATTTAATTGAAATGTCAAAGCATCAATAGTCTCTTTCCGCATCTTAAACAATTGTGAGTAAAGAACTTTTTTCAGAACGAATTTCAATACTACATTTAATATAACGAGAATTTACTTTATTTAAGTTTACTTAAAGTCGCGTTTACCTTTAGTTAAAAGTTCGATTACTAAAGCATTTAATATTCAAAGTTTCTCTTCGAAAGGTTAATGCTAAATTTGTTGAAGAATCTGTCAATAAAATATATTCTAGTAATCCCCAAGATACCCTGCCTAACTTAACTCTCTTCTAATTATTGTTTCCATTATTGTTTAAGAGACGATCTCTGTTCCAGACGATCTATACTGAGGATAACGCAAGCCTACTAGACGGTGTTGATAGACATGTGTATGTTCCGACAGGATTTTATAAGGTTAGATTACATTTTATTTTCATTTTACCTTTAAACATGTTCTCAATCATATGCCGAGTATATAACTTTAGAAATCTAGAAAAAAGAAATCATATACATCTGCGTAGATGCTGCGAAAAAAAATGTATTTTCCGACTTATGTTCGACTTATTTCTGAGTTATTTCCGATTTGCATTTTCCGATAATAGGATTAAAAATGCCAACGTATATAATCTACAATCGAAATACATATACAGATATATATAAATATATTTCATAAGCTTCGAATACGGGCTTGTGTTGTTCGCGTCTGCCAATCAATATTCATTCTTTTTTCGGAATAAGGATATTGCTTCGATAGAACGTCAAACAATGACGCGACAAGTACGTCCGAATGGAAAACGTAGCGTGAGGACTGATTTATTAAATGATTCCAGATCGCGAGCGCGCGACTGCAACTCTGGAAAAGTTTTTTCATATAAGATTCGCATCGATTGTTACAATCGTCTTTTTGCCAGTCTGAGTTATTTCTCGCGAAGCTTGTTTGTTGCCGAACAACAAAAAATTCGTCGCTATTTCAACACCGATCCAATTTATATTTCTGCATATCGCGCTTTACAAAACAGTAAACGGCATATATATTCTTTTTCAAGGGCATATATGGTTTTTACATGGCAACAATCGAAGAATTATCGATCAAATAATTCCATTGACCGTGATTTCGTAATTCGTTTCAGAATTCAAAAGTTGCTATAAAACTGATACCGAGGAACAAAGTGGAGATCTCAAGACCTTTATTGCTGGAGCTAAAGCGGGTGAGTAGCTGACCCCGCAAACGCATGTTGAGCTTTATACATTATTGTCAATTTTACTTTGTCAAACATAACTCGTTAGCACACACTTTCAGACGCAATTGTTTCAAAATAACGATTTTCTCAATAAATTATATTTCTCTCTCCGCGTAATTTCTCCTTCAGCAACCAATATTGCATGTAACGAGATTTAATTCATATGAGTGGTGATGTTGGTGACTTTCGCAGATGAAGGATCTCCAGCACGATCATCTTGTACGATTTTACGGTGCCTGTCTCGAGCCGCCGCATTGTTGCCTCCTAACCGAATACTGCCCCAAAGGATCTCTCCAGGTGAATTGCATTCCGTGTCCCGATTTAAAGTTTTGATGAGCAACCAAGGAAATAATTGTGTCTCGCGTCGCGTGTCACTAATTTAAAGCGAAACAGTTGTGCATTGCTGTAGAATGTGCACAACTTGTGACCTTGATTTTAATCTTAATTTTTGGCAATCTTTTTCTTAATAAAAAATAAGGCACTATCAAGAAAAATAAATAAAAACAACTCCTCCTTCGACATTTTCATTAAAAAAAGAATCAATTTGATCATAGCATTTGTGATTAAAACACTGTCATAAGATATGAAACTTTCTATATATACGGATATAATACGTATGTCATGTCTGCAATATCGTATGTTGTATACAAATATTAGGAACAATGCAAATACATGTTCATATGGCTACTTTAATGCCCGAGAGGCAAATTAATAAGCGTCGCAAACGTCCCATGTACGAAACAAAAGATTCTCTATTTTATTGAATACTTGTCTCGCCATTTGATGTAACTTTAAGTGCTCGAATTATTCGTTTCCCTTGCCGGAATTGCAATTTTAAACACGAGTGAAATTTATACGTATAGTCGGTCAAAGAAACAGTCTCAAAGAATAAGTCGCGCGAAACGTAGAATATTCTGAATACCTACATATTGAATATTGAGAGATACATACGCATACCTACATAGCAGTAATATTGAAGCGCATACGGAGAGAATTTCCTTTTAAAATTTACTCTGAAAATTATGTTAATCGTGGACAACATAGTATTTCGAAAAATGTTGTGTGATTTTCTGTGTTTTTTTTTTTTACTATGCACTACAATAAATTTGTTATAGTATATATTTAAGAAAATAGTGAAAATCACATAAAATTCGAGATACTATGTTGTCCCACGATTAACATGATTTTCAGGGTAAATTTTAAAATAAAATTCTCTCCGTGCACAATATCTTCGAACCGGGATATACACACAGTTGCATATAAGAATCGATTTCTGAGCGCTACACCGGTATCTTAACCCTTTGTTGTTGGAACAGGATATTCTAGAGAACGAGCAGATAAAGCTCGACCGCGTGTTCAGAGGATCCCTGATACACGATATCGTGCGCGGCATGGTGTACCTCCATGCGTCGGAAGTGAAGAGTCACGGAAATCTCAAGTCCTCGAATTGCGTCGTCGATTCGCGATTCGTCCTGAAAATCGCCGACTTCGGCTTGCACGAGCTGAGAAGGAGCACGGACGCGGATGCGGATGGCGACAAGGCCAGCTACGCCTACTGGAGGAGTACGTGTTTGCAAACCGGTTATGCGACCGCATTCTCTCGTGTGGTGATATTTTTCCAACGATCGTAAAGCTCCAACGCCAAATATTTTTCAAGCGCGCGCGTGGAAACGCGCGGCCAGAAATGGAGATAATAATATAGTCAGAATAAACGTGCAAAACTTCTGTTTGATGATTTAACTATTTGGACAAGTTCTTTTACCGCACATGTCACACGTTTACCAACAGTAACGTGCGGGAAAAATGTTTATTTAATCAATAATTTCTGTTACGCATCAGAATCAGGGGATCAGAAGTTTTAAACGCGGCAAATATTTTTTTTTATCTCGACGATATGCTTCTATTCCTCTTCAAATATTTATAATTTATATTTGCAATAACGATCGAACGCGTGGAAGAGAGGGAAAAGAGGAAAAGAGAGAGAGAGAGAGAGACCGCGTTGAACCGCTCGATCCGCTTTGATTTTTTTAGAGCAGGAAATTTGGTGTTTGCAGAACAGCTGTGGACAGCTCCGGAGCTCCTGAGGATGGAGAGACAACTGCCCGAGGGCACTCAGAAAGGCGACGTGTACAGCTTCGCTATAATCGTTCACGAGATCGTGGTGCGCCAAGGGCCATTCTACTTGGGAGACAATAACGAACTCTCTCCAAAGGGTGAGTCTTTAACGTCATTCGAGATAATCGCGGATACCAAGCAATTGCTTCTCGTCACGTTTCATTATTACGCGAACAAAAACGAACGGCCCTTTAATTAGCATCTTACTTTTTTTTTCAATATGTATTATAGTTAATTTATCTGGAAGCAACAAGGTCAGCTTGACTATTATTTGCAACTACATTTCTATCATTTGGAAAATTATACGATAATCGAATACAATTTTAACAAGCAAATTTTCATTGCTAAATATGAAAAAAATATGTATCAATATTCACAAATATGTATACACATAAAATATATATAGAAAAAATATATATATAAATGTGTCAATTAAAAAAAAATATATAGAGTTTATGTATGTCAACGAAATAATAAAGAGAGACATAATGATAAAACGCTTTATTTTTTCAAGAGAATATTGTTTTAAAATAACAATCCAGAAAGCGATGCCACTGATAAACAACGTTAAATGTTTTTTGCTAGTCATGAACGCGGAAGATCAGACGACGCGTATAGAATACATATACGTACTGAATACCGCAGTTCGTTATTTTGACCGATACACGACAGTCGCGCAGTTCCTTTGTGCCCTGCGAGCGCTTTGATTTCGGCATTCTAAAGAGTAACTAACGAGAACTTGAATCCAATACATTATATAACATTCATTCCACCGCATACAGTATTGCCTTTTTTCGCGTCTTTGTTTCTGGAGGCAGCATGCATGTTCTGGAATACGATCACGAACATGCCGTCGCGTGACGCGATTTGTGATGATAGTTCACATGTTACAATTTAGCTGGCGGTAATCTTGTAGATTTTAACAAAAAGCCGACGTGATCTCGATTCATAATTAACACGATACGCGAAGCATATATCGAAATTATGGGATTTTTCAATGCAAAATTGCAGGTATTGTATATTGCGAGGTTATTTCAAAAACTTGCTATTTCTGCGATTTATTAAAAGTAGGACATTAATCATGAATATTTCCTTTTGAAGATTTAATTGAATGAGAAAAATCATTGTCAAAAAGTTATTAATTTAATGGCATTTAATGTAATCTTATGCAATTTTTATGAGAACAAAAATGCAACACTAAATTATTTGTACGTTTCATTAGTTTCACAATCAATTTTTCAAAGGGAGCTTTTTATTTCCGCTGATAAGTGAAATTTCGATCGTCGTTTTATCGGCCGTCGGATATCATTACTTGCTAAAGCTTTTCAAGAAAGCTCGTCAAAATCAATCTCCTTGTTTCTGATGAGCTTGCAAGCTTTCATTAAAATTCAGATAGTGTTACCATCAGTCGATTTCTGCAGAACGAATTGTCACAAGTGTCAATCGTCTCGCAAAAATTGCATGTATATTTTTATATAATTAAAACTGTAATATAAAATTATAGATTATTATTCGATAATCAGCCAAGTTTTTTTTATCCAAATTTGAATGCGTAAAGTTGGAAAATCTATTTTTGCAAAAAATGCCGATAAATTTTAATACGTGAAATAAAGATGCAGAAATAATTAATCTGTAAAATGTACACAATCAAAAGATTCCAGTATAATTTTATTTATTATATCGATATCTTATCAAGTATTGACCAGATGATGATAAAGCTCGATTAACGAAACTTGTAAGAATCCAACATTATTTCAAAAGACCAAACGCGCGTCCAACATATTCGTATCGATATCGAGTATAACAGATACCGAATTTTCCGGTAATACTGATCGGGGTAACTTGAGCTTTACCGCCGAAGCTCGCCATTTCCAACCCCCGAATGACCGATGGCTGCTCGTGCGATCGGTAACGGAGTTTTCTCGCACAAGCTCGCAAGCTCCCGGCAACCGGCCGCGAGAATCGATCCGCGGAATGGAATGTCGCGAGGTGTTCCATAGGAGCATGCCGAAGCGAGGTCCGAAAGCTCAGTCGAAGCTCTCACGCGTCCCAGAACGCACACGACTCTCGCGCGCGCTCCGCCGAGACTCTTCACGTTATCGCTCTCTTTCTCTCCATCCATCCATTTTTCACCTCGGCGCAAAAAAAAAAACATATTCTCGTCGGCGACGCGTGAAATCATCGGGCATCACTTATGCCCAAGTCTACGGCCTAATAGCGGAGTCGTAGGTGTTGTTTTAAAACGGAAAAAAGAAATCTTTCGGCGAGCGGCATACCCGATAACGTGCGCAAACAACGCGCTGTGTTCTTCCTCTTTTTCTCTCTTTTTCTCTATCTCTTTTTTTCGTAAGTTACGTGTAACCACACAAACGTGTCGGAATCCATCGGATTGTTCGCAAAATTGATCTTGTCGCGTGATTTACCCACCGTATAATATCGCCGGTTAAACGGCGTCGGTATCGATTCCGAGTGCGAAAAGACCGCTGCCGCACCGGGTCGACGCACCTCCGTAATATCCGCGTTACAACCGCGCGGAAGCAATTACCGTTGCATCACGGAACGTGAGGAAAAACAGCGCACGGAAATAAATTCCGGTGACCGTGTTAGAGGGAAAGAGGCCACTGACCATGTTAGAGGTCCCCCCCCCCCCCAGTAGGCTGAATGGAGTTCCGTCTGTGTATTAAAGTTCTCCCGCTAAAGAAAGTTAATTCCCTAAAGGGAAGGGTAGAGGAAGAAAGAAACTTTATTGAAGGAAATTCCGATTTTTTTGGGGGGAAGATCTTTCATTAGATAGAAAAAAGTTTCCGATTGCGTTGGAGCAACTCCTTGATGACGTAGTGAGAGAAAATTTCTCATAATGTTAGAGAAAATAGTGGTCCTTTCTGTAATACAAAAGTAAACCGCTGACAGTGTGTAAAGATCGCGGATCAAAGATACATTAACGGTGTTTTTCAGTTCGTTACGAGTATTAGCGAGTCGGATCAATCATTTACTTGAATCACTGGTGGATTTAACTTCACACCTGCTTCACGCGCGATGCGGTTTGATCTGCTAAAGTGAGCACGATTTGCTGACAGCACGAGGAGGAGAGAAACTCGACGGGAGGTAGCGCGCGTGGTAATCCGACAAGTGATAGATCGCATAACCGATCAGACAGCGTCGTAAACGACCCGTTTCGCGCTCCGCTACATTTCCTACGCGAGTTCACCGGCCGTGCACGCTGCAGCCCTTCGCAGCCTTTTATTTCCGCCTCTATTTCCTACCGTCGTACGAACGTGACTTTTATTTTTTTTCTATTCTACACACCGCGCTCCGGAACGTTTTTGTCGCGATAGACGGATCGTTTTATTGTCCTGTTGCGCTGCATGCTTGCAACAGTGCGAAATTGGAATGTAGGTTCAGTGTCTCTCTTTTTGTCGCTTTCACACACGCTCTTGCTTTTTTTCTTATTTCCGAAGTTTCCCCCCTTCGCAATTCTTGTTTATGCGACCGTGATGGAAACGTATTTCTCAGAAAAAAATACAATTTTTATTTTTCCTCTATCTTTTAAATAAAGATATCAGTTTCAGGCTTAGAATCACTTAAATGTCTTCCGCAAAAAAATTTTTAATCAAAAAATATGCAAGATCTTAAATTTGAATTTTTACGTACTGTTCTATACTAATATTTAGGTGTTCTGTTGCATAAACCGAGCGAGAAGTAAGCCGAGAAATAAATGTGCGTTATATACCTACATACGCGTTATATATAACGATTATATTCAGTATCGATATCGACATTAATGTTGAGCTCCTTGTGTCATGTATATATGTCACTCGCAAAGCGTTCCGACTTTATTTCCTGCGGAATAACCGTTGAAAAGCATTATTCGTGCTAATTTACTCGGAATCGAGGTTACGAGCTCGTGGCTCGCGGTCATTAATTCCGCGAGGCATTTTTCGGGGGCCGGCAAAACGACGACACGAAACACGAACGAAACAATTTCCTCGTTCTACGAAACGATTTGCGAATCGCGCGTCCTATGGAAGATACACGGCGGTGTCGTGTGGTGATAATGGTGTTGGAAAGTTAAAATCGGTGTTTGCAGTAGGATAAAGTTTAATGGGGTCAGTGGAAGTGGAAGACAAAGATCCGAGGTGGACCCGGCCACCGGGATATGGGCCGACATAAGCGCGAGTGTTTCCCTAATGCGGCAAAATCCCGGTAAGGCGAAAGAGAGACCGCGGGTTATGGGTCACTTAGACCTTAAAAACGGATCGAATAGCCCGCCCGAGTAATTCCCTGAGAAATTTTTTGCCTTACGTGCCGTGGAGATAACTATTTGCATTTGACGTTTCAACGAAGCGGTTCGTTACTTTTTATTTTCGAATTTGTGTTTCCGGGAATTAATTTTTTTTCTTATTAATTTTCAATTATCCTCGGTAATCTTCAGCAATTCTCAGTCTTATTATTTTATTTAAGCAAAAAATACTATACTAGAAATGTATCCTTTTTTTACTTTTGGATATATCTTGAGACGAGGAATCGTTAAACGGAGATTACGGTGTAATTCGATTTAATGGCTGTGATTGCGGAAATTGATACGTCTCTCGGCGAAATTTCGAAAGCGTGAACTCGTGAACTCGGACGAAAACAGGGTCGTTGATCGTAAAACGACCAGATAACGACGTCGGAAAGGGGGTTGAGAAAGGGGAAAGAAATCAAAGTCAAGCACGACGATCCAAGGCCATCAGGATGTAACTTTTCAACGAAATTCCATCGAATAAATCGACCGTAATATCGTTATACGCGAATTAAACTTTAAGATGCTCATCGTACTTGTTTTAACCTCGAGCGCTCCTCGAGGAAAGCTTCCAGATGATAGCTTCATTCATTAGGCTCTGTAATGTAACTTCTACTCGAAATCGATTTAGCACGAAATTGGCATTTTATTCAGGAATTATACGTGTCGTGATATAATTTTTGTTCTGCATTAGATATTGTTATTAGATATATATTTTGATAAAACTAGATCTTTTTATGGAAATGTGTGGCTAATCCTTTAATGAAATTCCATTTACTTATTATAATTGTCAATTAATCTAATTGTTATAATAATTATTATTTATATTATTATTTGCAGAAACTAATTGTAGAAATATCAATGAGTAACAATAAACAATTACAATAACGGCAACTAAGTTTTGAAGTTTTAATGCAATTAAAAAAATAAAATAAAATGCGTTAACGGGGGAGGGGACCGATATCTAATAAATATTATTTTAGCTCGTTGTAAAATACGCGTGTTTTTAAACGGAAAAAGATAAATACACACTTGAAAGAAGAATGGTAAATAGCTTGCAGAGATACTGTTTACGCAATACATCGACTACACTCCACTTTCTCTTGCAAGCTAAACGGTAAATGAAAATTAATTCTGGATAAAATGCTTGTTGCACCAGATATCCGAGATAAACACAATAAAATACACGTTATTATGCGTGTGATAAGATAACATACTTAATTAACTGCGAGAAACGTGATATAAATTTATGTATATGAATATTTCGATTCAAACATTAGCGTTAGATTTTATATCTTAAATCTAAATATCTTTAAAAAATATATACTTGGATTTTAGATATTATTTATGCAAATTGTCAGCAGAACTACCATATAAAAATGTGATATACATATGAATCACGGTAATACATAATTTGTATCTATATATTTGCTCTCGATAACGTGCTCCAAAGAGTATAATAAAATGTCTCTTCTCTGTCTGCATTTAAATTTCCCTTTTTCATCGCATGCCACAATGATCGGGAAACGCTTTCCGACAATTTCCATCCGTCAAAAAGCGATATTCACGAGCGAATTTTTTTCCGCATGGTGTACCACATGCAGATTGTTCAACCGCGAAATTTCGCGGAACGCGCGGAAGACCATCTTGAATTTGAAAATGTATATATTCGCGGATTATATAAAATACTATCTATCGTATAAATTTTTATCGGGTATGCCGACTCGGCGGAAGTACAATACATTCGCGCCGTGCGTGTCTGCACTGCACTGCACACGCGTGCACGTGCACGTGCGCGAGTTAAGTGAGGAAGAGACGAGAAACGGAGGAGGAAAGATCCGATATCGCAACGGAATAAATTTTCAAGGGCTGTCCGGCGAGGCAGTTTGGCTCTCCCGTGATCGACGGCCAGGCTCTTCGAGGACGAAGACAGAATGGCGGAAAGGAGTAACGCCTCGAGCACGAGCAGCCTGACCCTGCCACAGATGTCGGGGGCGAGTCCCGACGGCGGGACCAGCCCCAGGAGGGCCGTCAGTCCTCTGCTCGAGGTCCGCAGGCCTCACTGCACCCTCAACTGCGAGTCCTGCAGCCTGTACCTCGAGGACGTCTACAGGCACAGTACGTGTCCGTTGTCCTTGGCGCGCGACAGCGGATTCCGGTTTCCCGTAGCCGTGCGATCGAATTCGATACCCAATCAATTATACCATAAGCGTTACCACGACCGTTTTCCGGCTCCTGAGAATAGAGAATTCCGTCGGAATATAACACCTGATATTAACCCTTCCCGGATAAAAATAGACAACTTCGTGACGTCGTGGGTTTTTACGAGTTTTGAAATATTTCATCAAGGGATATTTTAGACAGTACACGCTACAAATCGATGTCGATTTTTCGTTGTCGAAGAGGAATTTTATAAAAAACGCAATGTCCTGCTAGGCAGTGATTGAAATAGAATAGTACAAAAATACCTCACTTTTTGGCCATTTTTTTTCACTAAATTTCATTGAACTTTTAGATATTGTTTCTAATAAACGTCAACATATTTCATCTATTTTAATTTGCGTTAGTTATACTTTGCGACACACGCGCACATCCATATATATATTATAAACTTTTTAATAATTGAAATGTGCATTATCATTATTATTATTATTGTGATTATATGTATTTTTTACGCTATAGCATTACAAATGCGCGCTCCGCGCGCGCTTTTTATCATTTTTCACTTTTTGGTATATTTGCTATACACTCTATCAACCTCAGTACACACAACTGTTAAAATATGCCATGACAGCCGCTCACGAAGTAACCGCTGCGAGACAACAATCGGCGTCGCGGAAAAGCGACAACAATACTTTGAAAGACGCGAGTATCGATGTCATGCCTTTTTTTTAGAAAAGATATGTAATTATTGATTTATAAAAAAATATTCTTTACTTATTTATTATTTCCCTTTTAAGTCTCTTCAAATTTCCTTGTTTATTATTTTCCTTTTACAAAAATTCTGTCATTAATTTAGCGGAATTTTTCATTTCGAGAATTCAAGGAGCGTAACGTACGATGCTATATAACGTACAGAAATCAAACTGAAATCTATTTGGAGATTCTATATTTGGGATTCTCGTTGGAAGTACTGCTTACACATATTTCCTTTCTCGCGTGGACCACGGAATATCATTCAAATCAAGGGCTTTCATATAATTTCCATTCGAGTCTATTATTTGTTATATTATTTCAATATTGCTCGTGTAAGAGCGTATCAATATTTCAAATAAAATTATAAATGCAAATAGAAAAAGAATAAGGTTAAAGAAGCGATAATAATTAAAGCAGAAAAAGTAAAAATATAAATTAACCGTTATTATAAATAAATGATTCAATCGTTTTTTAATTGTAAAAGCTATCTTGCGTTTCATACATTTCATATACAGTCCGATGATCAAATAACGAGACTGCTTTTATTTAAAAAGAAGTTACTGCAATGGTTAAATTCTATTTTCGCTTCTTTGTACGTAAAAGTTACAAAAGAGAACTAAATTCTGTTATCATTGATACATTTAGTCCCTCCCTTTGTCGATTTTACCTCAATTCGTTTCTCGCGTATTGACATTTACACCAGAAAACCGTTTAAACTAATTCCGCGATTTTATGGAACGGATATGCCAGCGTCAGTCCGGGGTGAAAGTTCCGGCATGAACGTAAATGTGTGGACGTGTTATTGTAAGCTGATCTCCATCCCTTTTCGACATGATTTCTACCTGCGATGAAATTGGTGTATGCCAAATACGTGACCGGAAACGCAGATCGTATTATTGATGATTATGTGGCCGCCCGCAAATGCCGTTACATTTTACAGTTCTATCTAGCCGATGATTCTGTCATATTTCCCGCTAGTTACGTTCGATAATTTAACGCTCATCATTGTATAATCCTACCGTAAAAAAAAATCCATATCGCGAGATAGGAATAAATTGTGCCTTATATAAGCAGAGAGAAGACATTTAAGTATATTCATAGATCCGGCTCGTTCCTCTTTCTCTCTCTCTCTCTCTCTCTCTCTCTCTCTCTCTCTCTCTCGCTCTGTCATCTTCGACAGAAATAATTATTCCCAATAATACAGACCTTCGTATTGTAGTTTCACGGTTCGTTGATGCCCCGAGATGTCTACGTCAGTCAGTAAATATATCTTATTGGAAAAATTCTCACGCGGGTTAGACATACGCTACAATAAATCGATACGAGCGACGCTGCACTCGAGAAGATCAAACGGTCAACGGAAAATTTGTAGCTCTTTAGAATGAATACGTGGACAGTGGTGAAGCACGCCTGCGATAGGCGGACGCGAAGGAGAGAGTTCCGCGCGCTAGGCGGACACATCGTCGTCTGACGTAAGCGCGGGCTGCACCACTGAGCCGTGGATAAAAGTGGTTTCGCGCGCGATTGCATGCGGACGTTCCAATTCTGAGTAATTGCAACACAGCGGAATACCTCGCGGCGTTACGTCGACTGTCTTTTAACACGTTACCACCTGTGTGCCTGTATAGCCAGTTGCAATCGATATTTTTACGCCCAACGGGCGGATTATTTTCCGCGCCCGTTTTCCTTTCTTTCTACTTTCTTTTTCTTCTTTTTCATGAGGAGATCCTTTTACATTGCCCTGTGAACTTTGATACCACGCGACACGCTTCTGTCTCTGTTGCAGAAATAGTAGAAGGTGTCAGAAGAGGTGGCGGTTCACCCCTAAGGCCTGTAATCGACGATGCTTCCGTTGAAGAAGAGGTAAATACCATTAAAAAGGCAAATGCTTCAAATGTATTCGCATATTCATGTTTATACCCAATACGACGATATAAGATTTATCCGCACATGATAATTAGTGCGCCGTTCATTAGCATAATCAATCGCAACATTATCATAAAATATTCATATTATTCGACATATTATTTACGCATTATGTATTATTACTATTATTAGCCGTTACCTTGTTTGAAATGCATTTTCAAAGAGGAAGGGAATATAAATTTACAAGATGAATCTCATTTTACAGGTAGCTACTCTAATGAGACGATGCTGGGCGCAGGATGCCGCGGACCGACCGGATTTTCCGGCGCTCAAGCAGACGATTCGTAAAATTAATAAGTGAGTAAATTTCCCTCGGCAAAATTTTTACGCCATTCAGCGTAATATTGCGATTTACAGATTGCGATATTTATAAGTCGCGCGTTCCTAATTATAAATCAAGTCCACGTCGACGCCGGAAACGTCACGTGTGCAGCGAACTTAAAACGGAAAATCCCGAGTGAATTTTAATAACCCATTCTCTCATTAAGCTAAAAGCCGGCGTTGAGGCGCGAGCTAGCGCGCTAGCGCGGACATCGTGAGATTGTGATAGGAAAAAAAAAGTGCGTATATCTTCCCCTAGAATACCGATAAACCTCGAGCCGGGATGTAATGCGAGCGCGCGGAGCTGTAAAACTCGGAATAACGTTCGAACTATCAGGAGAATGCATTAACTGCGTCATCGAGGTATTGTCCCTCCCCGTCTAACGTTATTTCCGTCTCGTCGGATTTCTACCGGATTCGCTGTTACGTTTACGTCGAGTTGTCGACGTGTCGGAAATGTCGATAACGACGACGATTTCCCGACGAACGTTCGGAATCAACGATGACGATCGTATATACCTATAATTGCGCGGACGCTGAACGCGACCGCGCGGCGTCTTCGGCACGAAGAAACATGAGATTCAGGTCGAACGAATTGAGAAATGGCTGACTGCGATCTCCGGTATATATCGTGTAGAACAGCGTCGTTCGTATTCAACGCCGGCAAATTGTACGGGCCATTGTAGAAGCCGACATAAAGCGTCGCTGAGAGCAGAGCTCGCGATATCTCTACGAGTATGTCTTTTTCTTCTATATCGTAAAGGCGGGCAGTCACCTCCTTTTGCCTCTTTCTCTCTCTCTCTCTCTCTCTCTCTCTCTCTGCGTTAGATATTGGCATAGTTGTCGACCTTCCAGGCGTTGTGCATCATCTCATATCCGTGAAAGAGTACATCGTCGAGTCTAGGCACACGGTAATTCAGTAGGTCAATAACTGCACATGAAAGAGAATGGCTTCCGGACGGTTGAGCGCGTTCCGTTGAGGAACAGAAAATCGAGAAATAAGCGGAAAAGACGGTGAGAGACTGGGGGAGGCAGAACAAGCTGAAAGAAAAAAAAATCGAAAGAACCGTGTCACCGGCAATCGATCATCGAAGCAGTCGTTCGACCTTCTCTCCGGGAAAAATTGCGCCTGCAGACGAAGGATGCCGCTGGCTTTTCTCGGAAATACAAATTTGCGACTGAATCAGTCGTGAGATTATCTTTTTTTTTTAGAGCAGGTTTCAAAAAATTGAAACGAGCATATCATCTAAAGAAAATGGTACGATTTACACTCGATCGTCTGACGAAAGTCAGCGGTAATTCTGCGGGAAAATGTGAATTAAGAATAGAGAATGAGAAAAAGAGAAAGAGAGAGAGAGAAAGCTCGACATAAGAAAATGAGATCCCTGCTTTGCATAATTTCTATAAGCATAATTTTTCTCATCACGTTTCCATACCGCGCGCTTGGAATCTACGTCAAATAAGAATTCTGCAATCTCATAGGCAATTCAATCGACATTCGTTCAATATCTTCGGACGGACGGCTGTTTCGATTGACGGCTCGTCGCCGCATTTGATCGAGAGCTTCCGATCTCATTTAACTTTGACGTAGTTTTATCGAAGCACTCGACAATTTTTATTTTCATTTTCGATATAATCCATATGACTGGTGAATTGGACCAACGTTGGCGCCCGGTGATTGACTTTCGTGAGAATTTTGCGGATTCGAGGACCATATATTCGTAAAAATCGTTAAAACTGTTGATTTTTAATATACAATTCATAAAGCGTATTACTTTCAATACCTATACATGTTATAGACAATATATATTATAGTTTTTATCCGCATTATTTAGGAAAATAATGCAAAGAAAAAATTTTATCCTTACGAAATTGAACAATCCATGATATCAAGTACATTTACATTTTCGTTTCTTTATTCTTAATATTGTACACGTGGCATACTTAATATTAAAATTAATATTCAATATTATAATATTATCCAGCACAATTTTATTAAACGTAACTTAAAATATCACATCATTCAACCAAACATGTTCTATTTAAGCTAACGTTTGATGTATATATTGTTCACTAAAGTTCCAAAGCCGTAACATCTCAGAGATACATACCTACAATTGCATTACTCTGACAATCCCTTTAAACTTTCTAAAGCTTATTTACTAACAATCAGACTCTGTATACAGGATATTAAAACAAAACAAAAAATTCAAAGCCTAAGAGCAATTTTTTATTAGTCTAAAATATTTTTACTGGAAAAACAGATATTTTTATCAATTTTTATTTATCTTCATTATCAATCCTGAATTTGTTATTTTGAAATCTATCATTGATGTATAATATTTTAAAATGAAAAAATTAATGTATGGTTATATCCATTGAAAGCTTCATATTGCGTCACGCGTATATTTGAACTTACAACTTTTACTTTTAATACAACTTCACGACGACACACCTGCATTTTTTGTTAATTAACGTCAGAGCTATTTTCAGGAAAAATAATGCATATACACAGATATACGATGTTGCACACAATCTATAAATAAATGCGCATCGTTATGTATATTATTATCATACATTTAATGTGTCGATTGTTCGTATAAAGTTAAGCAGTTTATACAAAACGTTATGGTAATATAAGAGCTTATAATGATCATAATATTTCGTATTCTTCAATTTCACGTAGGACGAATTATAACGCTAACAAATGAGAACGTTAGAATGATATCACAAAATGTTTCAATATACGATAAAATCTTATTTACTCTGTCTCGACCGATAAGCGCATTGTTTCGGAAACATAATACACGAGCAGAATATTAAGTAACGATTTAGAACTGTTCTCAACACGAGAGCAAACTGACTCCATTTCGCGAAGTCTGCTCGGAAATAGAGGGCTACGTTATTTGGGATTAATAATCGAGAAATAAATTGTGAATTATACTTTTTAATATTCAATGCGAAACTGCGCTTTTTAATACTCGTATATTTAAAAAAAAACGTTTTATGAGTTTTTATACGCGCGCGCATTCTCCAGAAGAATTTTCCACCGCGTAGAGAATCACGCTTACGTGATATTGCGAGAATTCCTATTCCGCGATGGTCTCTCGCATTTGAAATGCGTAAAAACGAACCCTACGTATATTCGCCTGAAGTACCGCCTTGCGTACCGCGAATGAATACCCGGTGTAAAGGCGATCGAATGTGCGCGTAGCACGTGGGAGGTATTGAGCAGCAGCTTTAGTGTTCAATGCTGCAACGAATAGCGCGATTGGCAGCGGCAGATTAAAGCGGACGATAGCGCGTCCTCGAAATTCGCCCCGTTCATCAGCACGCCGGAAATGCTGAATTCGCGAAGATTATATCGCCGTTAATTTTTATTATCGAACAGCTCTCTCGAGGCCGTTTATTGCTCGAAAACAGGGACCAACTCGCACGCAGCATGCCTAAAGCACGTACTGCAGTCAGAGAAAAATTAAAAAATAAAAAATTAAAAAATGACAAAAACGCAGTAAAAAACAGCCATACACCACTCCAACCTACTTTTTATACTTACGCTCTCTGGCTGCGTTCATTTTGTTCATTTTTATGCTAAAGGCATTAGGTTGATATTTCTGACTGAACGACTCTTTTTTGTTAAATCTTGCAGTACAATGGCACATGGATTTGAAACCTCCAAAATGGCACGCGAGCCAAAAAGATTAGCTATCTCCGCTCTAAAGTGAAATCGTTACGTACCTTTTCCGTCCGGCCAGAAGATTCAGGCCAGGAAAAAAAATCATTATTAAATATGGACTTCAACGAAACGTTTCCTTTGATCGGAAGCTATCAAAGCGTCAGACAAGTATCTTGCGACAGCGATGATTCTATATGTGCGCGTACTCGATCTATGCTTTTTTTTCATTACATTTTTTGCTCATATCTATCTTTTGGCGCGGAGTGCGCTCGTGTCTCTTTGCTTTCATTTACACGAGTTATTAAATTACTAGTGCGACAGAAAGGACCAAAGGCCCGAAAGATGGAACAGAGATGGAAAAAGAGATGGAAACTCGTAATCTTAAAAATTAATTTCAAAGCTTGATGGAGATAAGAATGGTACAAAAAAAAGGAAGAGAGAAAAGAGCGACATATCAAAAGATAAATGAAGAAAAAAAAACTTAAGAGAGAAAGTTAAAGAGAAAACAGTGTTTGTGGTAAAAGTGGAAAAAAATACGCAAAAAAGAGCGACGTCATTTGTCGCACCTAAATGGAATTTCTTTCGTACTTGCTAGCGTAAAAATTACACAGAGTTAATATTAAATTATACAAAGTAATTCAGTTAAGTTTGCATACATACGTATATGCCGTGAAGATATTATTAGACGATACGGTTACGGAGCGCAACTTGATATCGTTCATTTCCGAGAAAAGCCATGCGTGTTTTTAATAACTTTTTTTAAGAATTTCATCTCTAGACTCCACAAGGGTCCTCTAAGACAAGGATTTACTCCCGCGTAAAAAGTCTTACGCCGTTATGCATGACTCGTGCCAATATTACATTAAAAATCACATTATATTCTATGAAGGCAATGTACGCGCGCGAGAGAGGAATATCTAATATCTTTTCACAAAGAAGGCCCGCTATAAACTCGTCTCCTCTATTATTTCCCCGAGCTATAAAATCGATCTCGAAGATATTTCATAACGTCATCATGGAATATTGAGCCGTGTGCGATTAGAAAATTAATATTTGTTTTTTCATTTCATCGCGTGCATACCACGCAGGCTATGCCAGGCAATATGAATTTTCTTGCACAAATAAGAATATTTTAAAGATAAATTATGTATTCTCAAATATGAAATTGATTTTTCTTTAACAAGAATTTCATTGCCATGATACTTTATCTCGTAAAAACTTTTCAGGAATTATATTAAGTTCGGAAAATAAGTAAATAACAACGAAAATTCATTCTTTAAGTTAATAAAAGATTAATTATTTCTTAATAGAAGCTTTACAAAGATCTAGACTTACAAAAGTATTTACGATAAAAATACATACGTTGAAAAATCAAATGATAATATTTTTACAAGAAATTTCTTAAAAAATTTATTGGCAAAATATTCTTGAATCAATCTAGAATATTCTTTTTATACACAGTACTAACGTTTTGTTAATGGATTAACATATTAACAGTTACCACAAAAACGAGTGCCCATCGACTTCATTACAGAGACTGTCAAACTGATGTGCTTAAAGAGGACCGATTGATTACCTAACAGATTCGTGTGTATTCGATCCATTAAACCTTTCGTTAATTGAAATGTAATATTTGTACGTCCTAATAAAGGGAAAGGAGATTCGACTGCGTTTTGGCAAAATTGGTAGACTTTGATTTTCACAATTTATTAGTTGTTCACCTGCAATAGGCGCACAACGCATTTAATATCATAATGCAACTAATGTAATTTTGTGGTTTGAATCAGTAAAGTAGTCGCGCAAAGTAAAGGTCTTGATACATTGGCGTGTGTACACGCTGTTTATACTTTATTCACTATTATATAATGCCAAACGTCACTTTGTTGCGTCCATATATGTCGTGTAACACACGTTGTTCGCGCTAACTTCATCGGCAAGTTACATGTAACTTCGAAAACATCACGGCTGACGATAGGATTCGCTTTTGTGAGTCGAAACTGTACAGAAAACTTCAACTATACATATTTCATCGTAGTTTATTTGGCTCGTTATTTTTAAAAGCATCGTTACTCCTCTTTGAAGAAAATGTCATTAGTATTAATGAGCATATTCTGTTCAAATTATCTTCTCTGTCGACTGGATGCTCAGAATTTCTAGAATTACTTTTTATTCATTTTTTTATTCGCTAGAAGTTAGTTTTTAATATTCTAACAGAGAGTTTTGATAGCGCCGATTGCCGCCGACGGAGAATATCATTATCATAAAATTATTTTAGAATAATGGCATCCGCGTTTCATTTTGAAGCACGGCGCGCGTCAATCTCTCCAACGCTAACATAGTTACGGCATCTCTTTGAAAGACGATTATGCGGCGTGACTCCCTACACAGCTACGTACACGTGCATTCTATACTATGCTCGAAGGCCCGGCGTTGACGTTAGCGCACGTGCGCTACGCGTTACAAGTCGAGAACTAGATCGAGCAAGATAATTACGTTCGATATTTCGTAAGAGAATTACGCAAACAGGCCCGGCTGAAGCTTCCAGTTCGATGTTAAGGTCGCAAAGTGAAACGCAAGTTTCCCGAAAGGCAAGTTCTCCGAATCTTTCGAGAGAATAGTTACGTAACAATATCAGTGAAGAAGAATTTCGTCGCTATTAAAAAAAAATTATATATCGTTATTATAACCGTACAAATTACAATATTTGCGTTTCAATTTTGCAGTACCTTATTAAATTCTGACCTCTCAAATTTTTTTACATTTCGTGCTCGTTACCATTATTTCGGTATTTGTCTGCAACGATGTTACGGTTAGTTGGAAGATTTTATGTAAAGTCCGGATATCGCATTTCGCCAAAAAGGAATATTTCCCGCAAAATTTTCCGCTTCATAAATTACGCGACTGTACCACAAACATGGTGGAGCAATTTGCTTATTATTCTAGTCACGAATTGCGAGCAGAGCAAGCAAAAGGTTTCTTCGTTCTCCGTTTTGGATTCCACGCACGGAGAAATTTACGTCGATATCATTTTTTTATTAACTCGCGAAGCAAAATAATAAACAATAAATGTATAAATTGCTATACTATTTCATTCTAAATAATATCAATTTGATCATAATCAGATGTATATTACCTGCCATCTCACAGGATTATACTATTTAATTGTTTACTTCAGTTTATTCACCAATACGAACACATCGTTAATTAATTATAAATGCATTATCTCCGCAAGGAATTGTTCGTTTTTGCTACAAATGCCAAACGGTCATAAATATCAATTTCTGTAAACAGAGAAAAAATCGTTTATAAATCTTCGTAAAATCACTTGAGAGAAGTGTTTGCTGGCACTCCAAAAATAAAGAAAAGATTAAAAAAAAGTCAGACGAGAAAAGGAAGATCTGCACGCGCAATTATTCTGTAGGTATTAAAAAATGAAATGTTCGCATTAATTTCGCAAATTTATTCAGAATCTCAGAAAAGTTCTGTAAGCGGAAGGCCGAATTTCACCGCTTGTGTGAAGTCGAGCAAAAAGTGGCTTGCTAGTGCCCTGGCGCGCTCAGCAATATGAATAATTAACGTGTTCAACAAATTAACCCGTCGACGTTTAAATCCTCTAGTTCCGTAATTATTAATAAAGTAGATGCATTTTATATGCCATATATTTTATACTGACCTGAATAAACATGAGCTCACTTTTATGTTATTTGAATTTAACAATTATACTCGTATCATTACGGAAGAGATATCATTCCCGTAACGTAATGCTAAAGAATTTGTCATATTTATAAACTCAAAATTTTTGCTTTTATAATATATATAACAATTACTTTATACAAATTTATTATTAATCAAAATTTTGTTTGATTTGGGGAAATAACTGTCTCTAAAATTAATCGACCTAATTAATTCATGTGCCCGTGAAAATAACATTTTGATGAAACTGTCGAGACTGAATAAAACCGCGAAGGTATAGAAATCTTTTATCAATTTTCTTTTGACGCTACATTCTACAACCTTCCGATATTGGACGAACTGCTAATTTCCAGTAAATGGTGCGCACGTTATTGTGCAGATAGAAAGCCGATTTATACATTCCTTCGAAAGTTTTCATAACAAAGATAAAGGCTATAAAACACGGACATGATCTTTTCCGTGTACCTTCGCTTTTAGTTTCGCGATAAAGCTGCTTATTATTTAAAACGTTGCAAAGTGAGCTCTAAAACATCATGAATTTTAGTGAGCCGAGTGAATATGAAATTATGTGACATATTATTTTACACAAGTTCTCTAAAATAGAGTTTATTCTTTGTGAATAAACGATTCATACATGTAATATAATATTAGGTCTGTTTTTTATAGCTGAACTGGCTACACTAGTTCAGAGTTTATCTTTCTTCTTCCAATGTAGATAGAGAAAGATAAACTAGTGCAGCAGTTCAGCTATAAAAAACAGGCCTAGTAATCACTGCGAAAATTCGTTAAATAAAAGACAGTCGCGTTTTTATTTTCACATTATTCAAAAATATCTATTCTTTCGAGATCACGAACAATTGTTCATCGATTCGGTAGCCTTGAACCGTTCTATGTTATAATTCTCAGATAAAATTGTATTCATATATGCAAACTTATCGCGGATAGTAGAGAACATTTCTATTAAAGAAATGTCATTATTTTTATCTCGCGAAATTCGGCGGAAATGTCGACAGATGACGTTTGACGCCGACTAAGTGGTACTCTAGCGAATGTCGATATTTCTCGCGTCCCTTTCTACTATCCTCCTTGGAATGCGTGTTGTGTTATGTCAGTCTTCCCTGATAACCCGAGAAGTAGACCCCCCCTTACCATCGGAAGCCATTCCGTTCATTCTTCTACGAAAGTGAACGAAGAGAAATCTTGGCATGTTGGACTGATATGGGTCTCTAATAGTCAGTATTTCTATAGGTGAAGCCATATAGCGAATTATCTGTATCTCTTATCACTAAGCAATTTCACATCGCAAAAATCTCTTCGTTACATTTTAAGGAAATTATGACGGTCATTATTTTTATCATTATTATTATGATTTTTCTGTTAAAATTATGCTAAAATAATTATTTCCTACAAAACACATCTGTTATTACTTCATTTATTTTATTACTATTTGTCATTCATTTAATATGTAATCTTTTATGAGTGATTTTTCGACTCATTTTGTAATTTGCTTTTGTCGTGTCATCTATCTAAATTTTCTTGTTATATACCTTGTGATTTTCTCTTCGCGCGAAGCAAAAACATTATTTGATTTCCTGACATTTTGCATCAAAGAGAATACTGAAAGTAAAAGCAACCCATTAATACCGCAGCAAAGCTGCATACGCCTCAGTTGAGATGTTATTTCTAAAATGCAGTGGACCACCGGTATTTCTTTTCTCGCGTAATTTTCATCGCTCTAAAGAGGTGTAGAGTTTCCTTGAATGGGACGTCTTTTTTGTTACGTTGTGAGTTATATCGAATTAAGTAAGAATATTACATAGGAAAAATGCAAAACGATTATGATACGCAATCAAGATACGCAAACGGAAAATTTGTCTCTATTATTTAAATGAAATAATTCTCTCTATTACAGTCTCCTCTATTGTTTATAAGAAATATTATAAGAAAACGAAATAATACACTTGATGCACGTGCACAATCTATTTACCCCTTTGAATCGCATCGTCAGATCTCGTATTTACTCCTTTATGAACCACAAAGATCACGTGTAATCGATGAAAAACTTGACTTTCTATAACATCTTCAGCGAAGTGATTATCTTGGTTATGGCCCTCACGAGAGTCAATTATCATGATCTCAAACAATTCTCGATATCGGTCCCTCATACCTGCATGATGTGGATATTACGTTTGACCGACCACAAACACGGAGATTGAATTAATTGTCCTTTGCGAAGGTTCGCTGTCTCGATTATGGTTTATCCTATCCTCTATACGCATCCGACCTGTGAACGTTTCTCGTATAACTACTCGTCTGATCGAACAATATTGATTTAGCTCGCGATGCGGATTAAATTGAAGAATTCCTTCTCATTGTTCGTAATTGCAGATGTCTGGCTATCCGATCGCGCGGGACATCCAATTTAATATCTTCCGCCGTGATTCGAGAGTGATTTTTTGCGATTTCATTTTCCCCTCCGTTGCTTTAGATGTCGAAGTTAAATGCGAAATTAGATATGAATTGTATCTCGTTCCTCTGTGTTTCAGAGACTACGAGAGCAGCAATATCCTGGACAATTTACTATCCCGCATGGAGCAGTACGCCACGAATTTAGAGACGCTGGTGGAGGAACGCACGGCTGACTACCTCGAGGAGAAACGTAAATGCGAGGAACTTCTTTACCAGTTACTACCAAAGTAAGTTTTCGCGGAACGTGAATAAAACGGACTTCCCTTAGAAAGAACGAAAGAGATGTCGTTACATTTACCGCGAGCTTCCGCGGAGAATCCGTCTGAAGTACCTTCCTCATTTCGCGAGGAGTTATAAATATTTAAATAGCCGAATTATTTAGACACGGATAAATACGAGATCCCTAACTCGAAGAAACACAACATTTGAAATGTATTTCTTATATATATATATATATATATATTATATATATAGCACATATATTTGTTATACATTACATTACATTAGTAGATTCAAAATTTATTTTAATTTTTTTCGAAAGCTTTTATTACTATTAATAATTTTGTAATATTTGTTTAAAGAAATGCTTTTACTAACTTCAATCATTAAATTGCATATAAAATTTGAATTTCCCTCACAACTGGCTGTAATTAACTTTTTGTTTGCTTCCGTATGTACCACACATGCAGTACTATTTTTCCATCTGAATTATTATCTAAATTATTATCGGACTTTACTGTTAGAAACATACGGTAATTTAATCGGATATGAATCAGTCGGACATATATATAATATACAAATGTACGCAAGGATTCTTCCTATCGGATGAATATTAATCGCTAATTAATGCAAATGCAAGTAATAATAATCGAAATATACCAAATGCCTTTTACATCAAAGTGCGACAATGCGCCATGACGTAAATTAACGATTGAAAGAATCCTTTCGTGTTACAGACGACGTGAAATTGAATGGTGTGATATGGAAAATAGACAATCAGTCGAATCGAATGGCTTGCTCGCGCGACGAGCCGATAGATTATCGAAAGTTTAAAATAATTGTAAAATTGAAATTGATCTGAAAATAGTAAAGACTTGTCAGTGTGCATACAGAATGAGACGATAAGAAATCGGACGGAACGGAATGATTAGAGCGCCATTGAAGTCTAATCCGTAGAACTGCAACATGATTATTTAGTAGAAACTGAGTCGTCTTAATTCAAGATCGCGTAACGACAATTGGAGCAATGCACAATGTAAGAAGTTTCAAAATAATTTGTTGATCCGAGCAAATTCGTCGTGCATTGTGATTATCATGTTTTCATTACGACATGATAAAACAAAATTTTCTAAGTTTGCTTAAAAATTTACATATTTACTCGCGATAGAGTCTATTGAAAGCGACGATATCAACGCGGTAATAATCGACACCATTTCACTTGAGATCCTGGCAAAAAAAAAAGAGAACTGTATACAAATTGTACATATACCAAAAATGCTCGTTTAAACGAAACTACTTCGTTACAGTATGCGCGGTTAACATGTCTCGTATAACTTTTAGCGAGCAAGTAAATAAGCGAACGTTAATGAACTTTACGAAGATAAAAGGAAGAGCAAGGTGCGAGGGAAATTTGTTGAGAGCTTCAAAAACTTTATCACCGCTCGTGAGTGATAATTCTTTTGTCGAACGCCAGTGATGTAGTTAGTGCGCTATCGCGTCACACTTTATCAATATCACATCACGATACGGTGACATGACACGGTGACATGAAATTCTGAAACATCGATCTTTTTCGAGATGACAAAATTTCCAGGCACGTTAACAATATCTTATTATTTACTTCAACGCAATGATTTTTATTCCCATACGGAATTTCAAATTTGACATGAAAAATTAATTCCTTTAAGCGTAACATTTCATCAAATTATACGTCTGTATAAATATATGTTATAATATCTCTGCATACTGACTTTTTAATCTTGTAAAAGCAGCATATATGAATTAAAACTTTTTTAAAGTTTTCAAACCATTTTTCAAATTTAAAGGCTAATAGAAATGCCACTAGTTGCGCACATAGTTTTCCTTTAATTAACTTCTAGAAATTCAATTTTAAAATTTGTCGAATGTTTCTGATAAAAAAGTTAAATAAATTCCATGCAAAAAGGTTTATCAGGAAAAATATTATTACCTTTATATTTTTCTTTTAATAAAAAATTTTAAAATTTACATAAACTCATCAAGTTGTAAAAGTAAAAAATTCCCGAGCATACAAATTCCCTGTAGAGATCTCGTCATATTATGTCCCTCTAGAAATCGTCTGTTCTTTTTTTAATTGAGAAGTATAAATAAAAAATAAGCTGTAGCTCCTGCCTGATCTATGTGGAACACGTGTTGAATTCTTCTCATTACTTTTAAATTAAGTTATAGCTTGCTTTCTACTTTCCCTTAAATGTTTATTGCGCTAAGACGTATGTATATGATACATAAATGTATGTGATCGATATATTGAGCTCTGCAGGTCCGCTAAGCCGAAACGGCCGTTAGGAATCAGTCATCCCTCTGCGGGACTTGCGTCCCTTAAACTTCCTTTCCCCTTAACCGTCGTCTATGAAAGGCACGTGTTTGTTTATTTCTGCGAGCAGATCGGTGGCGTCGCAGTTGATCCTCGGGCAGAGCGTAATCGCCGAGACGTACGATCAAGTGACAATTTACTTCAGCGACATCGTGGGCTTCACGAGCCTGTCGGCCGAGAGCACGCCTCTGCAGGTGGTCGATCTGCTGAACGACCTCTACACGTGTTTCGACTCCATTATCGAGAACTTCGACGTTTACAAGGTAAGTATCGACCCGCTTTAAAGCGTATCCCGGGGACATAATATGTAGATGATTTAAAGCCTCGGTCGAAAGGGGGTGAATATTTTAACTGGGACGGCGAGAGTCACGGTGTCGGCTCTCATGAAATGGCGATAAACTTTCGCTCGCAATCCGCGTCCGATGGCGTCACACTCGCAATATCGCAAGTTCTATCCGGCGTAGTTTTATCGAAGCTGAACAAAGCGTTCATCGTTTCGACGAGTTTTTCTGTTTGCGAGAACCTGACTTCTTCTATTAAGAAACTTCGCCTTCATCACTGTCTCTCTCTTTCTCTTTCGCTTTCTCTCTCTTCCTCGCATTTTTCCAACAGTTCCGCCTTCGGGTAAAACGATCATCCGGAATAACGTATTGCTCAGCCAACACGTTGTATTTCTCATTGATCCAAACTCGGAGATCCCTCGATTCTATATTTACAAAGTGTTCCACGTGCCGTTTATTTGGAGCCTATCGCGAGATGTTCGACCCGCTAAGGCCAACGGGAGAAAGAGGCAAAGAGACAGGAGAGGGTGAAAGAAACACGGCAATTCCGGAGAACAAATCGCCCTTGATTTCTCGAGAGAGCGATTTTCTATGAAAATAACACGATTACCGCGCGTGGACTTGAATCTGAATTATTATGTAATATTCACGTGCAGGAAATGCGCCTAAGGAAAATTATAGACAGAATAGTGAGAATCACGTATAAAATATATGAATTTACCGTTACAATTAAAACTGTAAAACACATATGTATATATAAGCGTTGGATGTATAGTGACACGAATTCCATGGGATAAATTTGCGATAATGCGACATCTTGCCGAGCTTAAAGGGGACACTTTCACAAGATTATTTAATTAATATAATAGGAATAAAATTGTATTACCTAAGCGAGCACGAAACCGCACGGAATTTTTAACCGATAAAACGCCAGTATTTTAGTTAATTTCAGAAGTCTTTATAATTTTACAGTCTAAAAAGCACCTCTCGGTGCAGCGCAATATAGCCATATGATTACTCTGACTATGTACACCCATCCCCCTGCAAGTTTCGCTGAACTCCATTACTTTACTCTAATTACAGATTAAACTTTCCCTTTCTCCCTTGAACGTTCTCTTCTCTCTCTCTCTCTCTCTCTCTCTCTCTCTCTCTCCTCGCTTTTTAGAATATTGAATATCAAAATTAAATATAATCCTCTACTTACTATTCATACTCTTTCATATGTTTTAAATAATCATTACCGCGATTTATTTTTATAACAATAATTTTATATTATGAAGGTTTATTGAAAAATAAACTTCAGAAATTATAATTAATTTTCCATTAATATCACATCGCTTGCTAATTCACCAACGTACGTAACTTCTTTTTATAACTACCTATATTTATCGACAGGAAATATCATATCTTTTCAAACTGACATTTCGAGAAATAACATGTTTTTTGCTCGTCACATCTAGCTGCAACACTTTTGCTCATTTTTCAGTGTTTTGCGAACTACTTCTGCATTAAAATATATCTCACTTTTAATTCGTTTACTTCACTCCGGTGTTACGAACTTCTTAAAATCTTAACGTTCTTGTTAAATAGTGTTATTTATGTTTCTTTTTGCCCGACACCTTTTTCTCCTAATTAATCTATTTAACGGAAAATGTAATATAACGGGGATAGAAATAAATAATTTAACTAATAAAAATATTCTCATTAAAATAAACTAATTAAAATAAATAAAAATATTCTACGTAAAGATTTAACGCGTAAAAATGCTCTCTTCTGCTTCTTGAAACAAATAGTAATATTTAAATACACACAATACAAAAAAAATAATAATATTTGAATACGTACGTAATAATGTTATAATGTGCAACTTTAAAAAAAAAAACAAATTTTACATGAACATGCTTTTATACTATTTTTGTGATTTTTACCAACAACACATTTGGCATAGTTTCTCTCGATTCTTTCAGGTGGAAACGATAGGGGATGCTTACATGGTCGTATCGGGATTGCCGGTGAGAAATGGCATGAATCACGCTAGAGAAATTGCGAGGATGAGTTTAGCCCTCAGAGATACGGTAATGACATTCAGTATTCGACACAGACCAACCGAGCAATTAAAACTTCGTATCGGCATGCATTCTGGTGAGTCGACACTTTATCCTCCATCTTTTTCCGCCCGCGTAAAGCGAAACAAGATTAGTCCTGACGTAATTCTGGGCTCCGTGCCAGGATCGTATTGCGCATGGCCTACTATGTGTCTCTAATTTCTAATGTCAAGTCCCGAAGATAGATTGTGCATCTGCACCTATTGTTACTACAATTTGTGTTATTATGTTTAGCATTTGTTCTGCGCTAAAGAAATAATTTTTTTTACATCTTGATAAGTTTTCCGATGTTCAATTAAAGAGAATGGCTTACTCAACATGTTAAAGAATGGCGTTGTAAATCAAATTTACCTTTCGTGTTACAAAATCGATTGTATGTTGCAAAGGTCAAATATGCGAGCTGCAAATTGATATCGCGAGTAACAGGAATCAAATAGAAAAAAAACGCGGTACTATATTTCAAAATAATTCCTAGTGGGAATTTTTTTCTCGAGTTTACTTTAACAGAGTATTGAAAGTTCATTGAAAACGATATTCGATACGAGCGGAACTGATCCGGAAATGGTATTGTTGAAAAATCAGCAGCCCATCCGCCGTTACGAAAGAATGAATGATTGTATTTCTCGACTGAAGCCGTCTCGATTGAATCGTTTTTTCGGTTTTATTTCCATTAATTTTTAAATTCATGACACGATGGTCCTTAGACCATTACGTGACGAGAAACTCTATTTCCCGGAACACTAGCTCATCCCCATTTCTATCTCTCGCTAAAATTTTTCTCGGTGACATCAAGTGTCATGCGTATCCGAAGTGACATCCTTCAAGATCGCATAGAATTGTTAGATTACACCATTCCCGCGAGAAGAAACAGCTTAGCGTGATATATACGTCGAGAGGTTAGCTATAATTAGTAAAGTTAATTGCTTTTTAAATTAACTCGGAGTACGACGTCGCTTCTGCATCGTCTGACAAGAATGATTAACGTATTCGCGATTCGCGAAAATAATTACTTGTCAAATTTTTTATAATTATTTTTATAAAAATGGAGAATTAGCTTTTCCATTGAAAAACTGAAAGTGACGTTGGAGAAAAAAAACGAAATGTTTTTACGAAATTATTCTAAATGACATAAAATTATAGCTAAAAAAATATCTTTTATATGGAGAGAATCTTTTTGAAAATAGAAGCGCGAAAAATTATTTTTCTAAAGACATCCGAAAAACGAAAATGATTTCAGATATTTTCACAACTATTAAATCAATTATTTCCGTTGTTTTTCTCCGGAAGAAACGGTAATAAAAATAACATCAGCGTAAAACCGTTATAGTGTTGGACCGTACACGTGTTTCCTTGCAGGACCGTGCGTGGCCGGCGTGGTAGGTCTCAAGATGCCTAGATACTGCTTGTTCGGTGATACGGTCAACACAGCATCCAGGATGGAGAGTAACGGAGAAGGTAATTAACAGCTCAGTCATTCTCAGGGAAGGAAACGTTTTACGTCAAGGAGATGTAATAGGGAAAATGTGGAGGTAGAAAGTTATAGACACGAGCGGCAATTAAAGGGGAGTAAAGGTGTGGCGAGAGAGAGAGAGAGAGAAAGAGAGAGAGAGAGAGAGAGAGAAAGAGAGAAAGAGAGAGAGAGCAAGGTCGCCGCTTAAGAGAAAATCGACCTCTGCCTCAAGTGTTTCCATAGAGACCGTGGTTAGCTCGTTTTCAACCATGAGCGCAATCACAACTGTTGATTAGCCTTAATCATGTTAACTTGTCCGGTTAACGATTCCTGCGATCCATTAATAACGTATCTAGCGTGTTCACAGGTTATTACTATATTTGATATCACAAACATGATCAAATAGCGCCGGCGAATCGATTTTGGATTCAACTATTCATAATTTCAAACTTTGCCAATATTTCACGGGTCTAATGAGGTTCAATATGAAAAATAAAATTTCCTCTCGCAACCTCGTTTCGCTCTCGGACATCTCTCCTTTACAATTATCGACCGTATCGCGAGCGCGTTTTTCGAGCGTTTTCCTTTTTTTTTTTTTTTCACGGTCGACAAGGATCTCGATCTCGCGGCTCGACGGAACGACACGCAACGATGAAATTGATTGTGCACTGGATCTCGTTTGCTGACACGCTTACGAGGGCACGCACGAGTGTGCGGTATCGCTTAATGTTGCGCGTGGGTGGTTTTTCCCTCACAAGGACTTGGGTGCCGGCGTCCGTCGCTCGGCGTTGCGCGCGCGAGGCAAGGACGCACCGCAAGGCGCCACGCGGCTGTTTATCGAGTTTCTTCGTAGCTCGTTTTGTGCGTCGCGAGAATTATATCACGCACGTTAAAGTTTCCGCGTGATGGATTACGCTGAAAGGTTTCACGAATTTTCTTTTCTCTTCTTGTTCTTTTGATACGCTCCACTCTATTGGATACGCGTTCGAGAGTGAAATTGTGATATCTTAACGACTTCTCGCGATTTGTATTATCGTACGGGGCTATTGATATTGAATTACAACCGAGAACTTAGATTTTAACTTCGATGCTATCGATCAATTTTCTCGTAATCGAAATACCAAGAGACTTCGGGGAACTTTCGAAGTAGAACAAGAATAAAGACAAAAGACCTTTTAAAGACTATGGTTTTGTAAAGCAATTAAATAATACTTTACTCGTAATCTCTCTACTTTCTTTACTGTTAACCTTTCTGTAGAAGGAAAATAAAGAGCTTTTTAAAGATTACTTTTGGAAAAGCACAGTCTATGAATAATATATAATTTTTTATTTACTTTAAACTCACTTTCAGTTTCAATTTTAATAATCTTTACATTCTAGACTTTTAATAATGTGTTTAACCTATAAAGTATTCAATATTGAATGTTTCAAAATTACAACGGATAACTTACTATTCCGGACATATTGCTTTTTGTCCAGTTTAAATTAAAATTTAAAAGCAAGATCGTAAAATTCCTATGGCATTTTCCATATCCAAAGAATTAACATATAAAAACTGTAAATGTCATGTTTAATAGAAAGTTATTTTAAGAGACATCTTTATGATTTATATTTATAATTGTTAATATTAAAAAATGTATCAAGTAAAATCACAAGCAAATGAAATGAGGACGAAATATTATATTTTAAAACGCAAACGGTTTAATGATTATACTTTAATTAGAGAGGCACTGACATTATTTAGTTGAGAAGCTGAAAGTTTGACGCAATGTTTACATAAAGCCTGGCACAATTAAAGCACTGCGTGATTATCGCGAAACATGTTTTAACATTGCATATTGTATACATTCACATACACGTACGCGATATGTGATTTTGCATACATAACGAAAGACTTTCAATTCTTAGCTTTTCCCACACCTTTCAAAATAAATTCAACGAAAGCATGATAAATTGTAGAAAAAAAAAAGATAATAGCAAGCATGCGTTCTCACGGCTTTTAATCCACGAATAATTATTAATTCTTTATAACCGCGTATAAAATTTCTACCAATTCTTATTAAAATAACATCGATTATTTTTACTACGCAGAGACAGAAGGATGTAGAAATTGTCAACAATGTTCGACAAGAAATAACGTGAGAAAAGAACAATGCATCCTGTCGATTATTCCTGTCAATATAAACTTTTCATATCTCGATATTCTTGTAAATTATGTCAATATATCTCGCATTTTATTATACTGTCAATAAATTTTAAAATTTTTTACTTTTTATATGACATATTAAAAATTTAATATTTCCAATATTAAATTTTTAATACAACTGAGAGATAAATAGAAGTAACTCTGAAACAATTATATCTGCAATAAAATATTTATCAGATCTCATATCATTCATTCTATTATGATTTAAGTAATTTAAAGTTTATTTATCAATAAATAAAATGGATGGATTGGCTACGAAAGATTGAAATATATTGGCGCGTCATAAAAAACAATTAATAACCGCATACGCGTTTTCCTTTAGTAAATTAGTTGATAAATATAAATTGTTTTGTTTTTTCATTACGCTTATGATATACATGATACATATTAAAAATATCTCTAAAAATTGCTTTATTGCACGAATTTATATATTTAACCCCGAAAAGAGACCACAAACGCAAGCCTTAAATTTCATTTTACAAAATATTTGAGAAAAAAGAGAGGAATAAAAAATATATTTAAATTGGAATAATTTTCATTACTACATATATTTTACAGAAATTAATTTATTTCAGAAATATAAAAATAATCTAATTTTCATCATTCGTAAAATATGAGCATGTGGAAATAAAATTAACTAGAAATTTTATATTTTCAAGAATGTCAGCTTTTTACTTATTAAATGTTATATAACTTTTTCTTTTTTTCACTCTATTTCTATTATATTAAAAAATTTAATCTATTAAAATATATTTGATACTGAAATTAAAATGTAACATTGTCTCATTGTGGTTCCCTATTGAATCTTCTAAAAATCTCTTGTCAGTATGGATTGTTTGACAAAAAACATAAAAAATTATAATATTTTTACTAAAGCCAGAAACAGTTTGTTTTTTTATTCCTCTGTTTATCATTCTTTTTACCAAATATTCTAACAAAAGAAACGTCTCTTATTACTTTTTTATTTTTATGAAAGCGAAATTAAATTTCCTGTAAATTTCATGCATCTTGCAATTAATATTTTGTTGCACAACAAGATATTGTATTAGTAAGTAATCAAACTGATTAATAATGCATTATTAATAGTGAGCTCTATGTTATGAGCGTTATGTTTCTATAAATATGCATCCTCGCAAACATAATAATTCAACGGACGTGGTTATACATGTTTCAGGGTTAAATATCAAACAGATACTAATCAATCAGAACTCATCTCTTCAAAGCAATGGATTCACATATGTGAAAGATACAGTATTATTCATAATAATTACAGATCCATTTCATCGCCAATCTCGCCATAAAAGAATATAATTTGACACGTACGATACGTAGTAGCCGTAGTAGCGGAGTTGTTACTCTATGTTGATCTGCAAAATACAAATAGATTCAAATTATAATACAGCATGTCAAAATAATTACTTTTTCAAAAAAGCAATCTTTGCGTTTTATCAAATTTTAATTCGTCATTTTTAAAGAGACATTTCATAAAATTGAGAATTTATAATTTCCAAAAGAAATTCTTTTGTTTTTTAAGCACATACTCGCTTTCGTAAAATTTCGTAATATAAAAAAAAAGTTTTCTTTATTTTTACGTAAATTACTCAGGCATAAATAATTTTAAAATATTTCAAGTCACATATTAATAACATAATTAATTCTGTACGAATAATATATTATATATAAATATTTATATATAAATATATATATAGATAATAAATTACTCACTTCTCGGTTGCTCCGCCGACGCTCGATGCCTCCCAGGCCTCCACCTCCTCTCCGTTCGTCGTCGCTTCCTTATGACGCTCGCACACATTCACACTCGCGGAAGTACGATTAATTAGGCACGAACCAATGTGCCATTGTGCGGCACTCCCCCGTTATAGTCACACGCGACACGCACTTATCGAGACGAGTGAATAACGCGAAAAGGGCACACGGGGCACACGAAACTACGATCCACTCGGACTCGCGGCGTCGCGCAATATGGCGTCGTGATGGACGCCGAAGATCGCAATCGCAACTAACTTCACGACACCCGCCGCGGCAGCCGGCAACGTCCGCTCCAGTCCGCTCTATGCCTTCAGCGTGTGTACTCGCACGAATCTTTTTCGCGCTTTGAACAACAAACCGTTCGCGACATTCGAGCCTTTCAAATTGTGCGGAGATACACATATAGATGTTAATTAGCGATATACGTCCCATCCGGCTTTCTAATTATCCCAATTATTTCAGGGCTCTAATTATTCCGATTACTCCAAGCTCGTGTATTCTCGCGCCCCGAAAACAATTACACATTCAAAATCGGCGGAGTAATTGCTGCTCCTCCGTAAAATGTCGCGATTTTTAATTCCGATCCCCCATCGTTTCGAATTCCATCTCGATTGAATATGCGCTTTGATTATAAGAGATAGCCTTTGATAATAGATAACAGATCGCTTTGATACGTTCGTGTGACTTTAATCACGATAATTAATTAATAGCGCGCGCGCTGAAAATTGCTAACCGACCGCGGGGGAACGCTCGCGTTTTTTACTCCGACCTGCCGAGGTCGCGTTTCGAGAAGTAATAACCTCTACGCGGTCGAAGGACATTCGAGGAACGCGCAGCGCACTATCAGCGTTACATTGCGTCCTTTATCGTTCGTTTACCTTTATCGTTCATTAAACGTGAAACAGGAACAGAGTGATGCTACACCTAACACCGATATCTTAGCGTGCCCCCGGGCGCGACCTCCGACACGGCTGCTCGACGCACAAAGCGACCGTTGCTTACCGACGAGTCTCGCCGTGCGAACGACAACATGCGACGACGCGACGCAAACACAACAACAACCGTACGTTGCAAGTTTCGAAAATCGGTCAATTCGTTGCCGCGAAATATCTAATGCAGAGAGCACGCAGGTCTGTCCAACACTACTCGCGAGCTGAATGCTTCCTCTTCATCGTCTCGTTGAGCGAGACAGAGAGAAAAAGAGAACGGACGTTAGAGCTTTGCCCGGCGGGCAGCGACTGGAGTGGCTAGCTCCAGCGTCTATTCAAGGGTGTCCGTAGGGGGAGCGGCAAGAGGGGGCGTTTGCCCCCCCTGGAATCAGACGAGCACAAAAAAGTTTAGAATTTGCTCTCCCGTTTTCACTAACAATAAATATGTTTGTCAAATGTGAGAGAGCTTAAGTACGACACGTTGTATAAATTTGAAATTATGTACCTATAATGCTAATTCTAAAAATTTGGATCATGCCCCCCTGTAGGAAAAATCCTGCGGACACCTTTGCGTCTATTCCGTTTCGTTTTCTCTCCGTCTCGCTCGACGATCGATGGAGAGACGACGGAGAGGAGAAGTGAGGAAGCGTTTAAGCTCGTCGGACAGGCCTGATCTGACGCATAATAAAATACACCGAATGCTCTTGTGCGTTCCCCGTATTTCAAATTAATTATTAACCAAAGCGATCGATCTGGCACTCTCTTAAATTATTTTATCCGACGATTCGCGTATTGTTCCACGCTTTTCGAATCCAAGTATTTGTTCAAAGAATCGTCGAGCTGTCGGAGCGATGAAATAATAATTTGTAATTCCCTATCGCTTCTCGATTTACAGATTATTCTAATTATTTTAAACGAACGAACCGTGCGAAACAACTGCGCCGATAGACATAACCATCGCCACGTTATCCTCCAAGTTTTCAATCTCAAAAGAGATTGATCGTTCGTGCAAATGACTATTAATCATAATAATGATTGCGTTTTCGGATAGGCATTTGTCGCGATCGTCTCTCGAAAAGTAATGCTGACAACACAGCGGGTGCCGACGGCGCGCGTCCTACCGAGCGTGCGAACGATAGATTTGTTTACGTTGCGGCACGCTGGCCTGTTACGCCGTAGAAAATAAACATCGTCGCGTGCCGGGAATCGTGCGCCTCGCCGGTTAAAATATTAAACTCTTTCAAATAATTCAACGTGTCATAACACATACAAGTTTTTTTTCTCTTTTGAATTGATTTCATCGAATGGACTGTTATTGCAAATTTTATTCTTTGTTTCACGGAATAACGTCGCTTAGAATAACGATGAATTGAAGTACAAATATTGTTATTGGAATAATTAACTCGTCGACCATACAATTTGAATAACACATATAGATATTTGCCCTGAGTATTATTAATAACAAATTTTAAATGTTGCATATAAATTATTTAATTCTTTTCCGGAATTAAAGTTTGAACAATTGAATTAATCCATTTCTAAAAGGAATTATTAAATCAAATTTTTATTTGGAAAATAAGATTTATTCCTGTTTAAATAAAATATAGGACAAAATGAAGACATTTAATTAAAAGTAGTTTTTCTAACTTCTCTAATTAAAATGAAATGTTATTTAGATTTTTGAAAATTTCGAATTTCAACGTTTAAAGTTTTGTGTGTCAAATTTTCGGATTTAATTTAATTTTATCGAACGTTAAATTGATCGATTATATTATAGAGCAACACGTTCTATTAAAAGCGATATATATCGCTCTTGAATGCCGCTGAATACGTATACTTAATTAACGTCCCATCAATGCGATAGAGAATATTTATTATACGAAATAATTGGCATATTGTATAGCGTAATTAATCGGTGATGTTATGTAACTGATTTAGAGTGAAGGACTAGTCTCGCTACTATATTGATCTTCTCGCAGCAGCCTCGCCTGTTCTCTCTTTTCCTGAAGGAAACGCAATCAAGTCGCTTTAGAAATAGGGCACATCATACGAAAATTGCGTACATCGGATTAGCATATTTGCGATCGCTCGCTCTGGCCATCGGCCGTGCTGTAATTGAACTTGCACATCCAGTCGACGACGACGGAAGTTCCGATCAGCGCGCAGTAACTTTATTATCGGTTTAAATTCCATTAAAAGTTTCCCCCGTGTACTACCGGTACGAGAAGATGTGATAGCGCCGATTTGTTCGTGTTTAGTTTAGATCACGCGAATTCTCGGTGCCGTAAGTCGATTTGTTCCTCACGTTTCTCATCTTACATCTTTCAACGACATTTCGTAATTTTCAAACTGCAAGAAATTTTATCATCCTTCTTATATGTGTTTTTTGCTACAATCAAAACGGTTATTTGAAAAATAACATATAAAACGTTCAAACGTAAACTTCGGAGAAAGAATGAAGAGTTAGTTTATATATCGCTGAGCAATTTACTTTCTTTAGCCGTGAGATTAAATCACTTTGTCACATGGTATTTATATAAAAATTTATGGAGGGAAAATTTTTTTTAAAGTTCCATACTTTATTTTTAAACTATATAATTAGTAGGAAAAAATGCGAGATAAGTTTAGCCTTTACATTTTTCTAAATAACACACGTGCCTCATGTCTTCCGACGAAAGGAAAGGAAATTGACAGTGTCGAGTTGGTCCAACAAGTTAGATCAAGGTCGCCAATCCATCTCATCCGACACAAAAAAAGGTCGCGAGCGGTTCACCGAAAAGAATCTGCTTCTTGCGAATTTCATCGAGCCCATGTCAAACGCGCGTGTAGCTCCGGTGACAGCAAGAAGTTAATTGGTAGTCAAGAACACGGAGTTTACGTGTCAGAGGGCTTTAAATTCCCCGGTCCTCCTTATGCGTCGCCTTGATGCCACTCGTCGGAGCGTCAAAATAAATCGTGCCACTTCTGTAAAGGTCACGTTAGATCGAGAAAATTAATGGAAGGAACCGACTAAGACAACAACTCGCACTATCGTCATTTAGCAAAGTGACACTTCGCGCTTCTCGTCGCATAATTATTAATGCAGTTTTTCCGAGCGAATAATTTATTGCGCTTCTCATCGCGTCACGAGATAAATAGTATTTCCATTTATCGAACGGATCATTTATTGCGTATCGCAAAATTGCAATATTTTTATTCCTTGTAGATGGGAAAAATAATATGTTGTTTCGTCTACCCACGTACGCACACGTGCGTGTCAACGTCCAATTCGTGTTTAATTAGAAAATAATAACTGGAGCAAGTCCAAAGTTAAAAAGAAGTTTTATATCTATATTATTCTCTAAAACTTTTTTTTATTTTAGAAAGGTTTTTTTCCTAATTTTTTTATTATTCGGAAATCATCGATCTCTCTCAACATTTACAAATATAAAGAGAAACGACCCCGAAGAGAATATCTGACATTCAAATATTATTGTGATTTTTAAATGCTCTGTAGTTGTAATTTAATAGCATAGAAAATAACAAGGGAGCAATCGCGCGAATGTAACAAAGATACATTCGCGGATACATCATTGTGCGCCGCGGCGCACGTACAATTGTGTTGAAACTACATTTAGTCTGTAAAGTGCGCTACTCACCGGAAGCGACCGGTTCAAAGCGAGCTTATTCGTGTGAAGCTTTGTTACTTCGAAAACTCTCTTTTGCGTGAATTTCAGTCTAACAATTAAAAAAAATTTTTTGTCACGTCCCCGCCGGTCGCTAAATGTCACATTTTAATATTTGAAACAGTTTACGGAAAAAGAGCACAGCGTGCTCTCTCACCGGAATTAATTTTAAGCGTGGGATCGAAATAATAATAATATTAATAATCAAGTCCAATATTATCTTCAGGTTACAGGATACCTAAAACTAAAAACAAAATACATATAAAAATAATACGTGTACTATACGTTTAAAATTTTAAAGGATAGTCGAGAGATGTTATTTTATATTTTCTATAACGCTCTGCGTGGGAATAAACGTCATTCAAAGATATTACAAAATGTCTTGATAATTATGTAAAGTCGATTTTGATAATTATATAAAAGTCATAGTGCATGACAAAAGACAACGTTTAGCCATTGTCTCTCGCGTTATTCTTTAGTCGGTTTTATTTTGCGGAATAATTTCATATCAAAGGAGCGCCGTTCTAAATTAGCGCTGTGAGAGGATTATAGGATGCGCGTAAAAGAAGTCGTTTTCCTTTTTCTGCGACAGCTTTGAAGATCCATGTCAGCCCAAAGACGAAGGAAATCCTGGATACCTTTGGCACATTCGAACTCGTCTGCAGAGGAGAAGTCATATTAAAGGTAAGCTCTCGTCGACATGCGGTTTTCCCTCAATTTCGAGCCAAGATCGAGACACGCTCCTGTCTGCTTCGCCTTTCATCTCGCAAACTCAACTGTCGCTTCTTTCCTCGAGGTCAAAAAGAGAAAAACCCCCCGCGAATCGGGCGAGATTGTCAAGTGATTTCTCATGGCGGAGATGTTAACAAAGAGAATGACCATTGCGCAAATTCATTCTTGAATCTCGTCTCGTAGATTGCGACATGTAATGCGAACCTTTTTGCCCCCGTACAGCCTTTTTGCCTTGTACAGTCTTTTGAAAGTTAATCTTCATGTTTGCAATTTAACGGAGGACATCTACATCCGCGCAGTGAAACGTCCTATTGCTAATGACAAGATGACTAGCAAATTTTTTTCTAAACTAGTTATTTGAAATATCTCCTTAATTTATCGCTATAAACTAAATAATCAGCTTTAATATTTCGTATTTAATGTAAGTTTATCTCGCCTCGTGTTACGTCGCAATTTTTACTGGAATAGCATCAAGGGATGAGATCTTTTTTTCTCAATTTAATTCAGACGTTACCGGCTACCGTTCTATTTGAACGTGTAACGCGTAAACAACGGCCCTTCGACTCGAGGGACACGGCATTTCCAACTTCGACGAATTCGCATTTGCAACTCCTGAAGGATTATGAGTTGCAGATTGAGTTGCAGTCATGTCCGGCGGTTTAGGTTCCATATGTGCATTTCTCTCGTTACATATTCAGATGTGCTCTCTACCATAGCCGAGCGCGTTATGTTCTCTTGCTTAACACACATGCATCGCGTGCATCGCGCGGCTGCCGGCCGTTTATCCGCAAGTGCGATCTGTCTCCGTTTTCCCGGAAGAGAGTAATTCCCGGCTGGCGGCACTCAATTTCGGCGTCGCCGAAATTACAGTCGTTCATCCCGGTGCGTCACCGTTGTCCGAGTGATAAACCGGATGGCACGACAGGAACGCGTCGCGATTCCGAGACCGCAAGTCCTGATATTACGGGGATTGTCAATATACTCCGCGCGCGAACGACGATAATAAGCGACTGCCGCTATATACAGCTACAGATCTCCATTTATTTGCGAGCCGATCGATTTGCCGTGGACGCACGATCGTAAACATCGTCGAGTCGTCGGTCGATTAAGTACACTTTCTTGAATGATGGACGAAGGCGTCCACGGAGGGACATTGGATCGTTTACAGTACAATTCGGGTCAAAGTTCAGCGGTCGCGGGCGCTGAGCTCGCCAGCGGATTCGCGCGCGCATTCGCGTATAACTACGCGGCGGTATGCAGTTAATTAGTAAGATAGCGCCGGTGGAAATACGCTCGGCAATTCGCGCATACGTAGTAGTATACCGGGGCTACCGACCGAGGGATTAAAATTCAGGTACCTCGCGTATCGCGCGCCGGCCGGGGCTATTGTAATACACGCTGCCGCTTACTTGAATATTCCACGAACGTGCCTGGCGTTAAACGCATTTGCTGATAGCTATCGCGTAACGAAGCGATACAATAGTTTCACCTTTGTTATTGAATTCCACCATCGCGGGACGACCTTAATTAAATCTCTGGAACTACGCGTACTACGTTTGCGATGATTCTTAATCCCCCGTCTACCGCGGAGCTAACTGCGAACAACGTAATTTTGTTGCCACAGCTAATCGTTTCTCGTCTCTATGAATAAATTATCCTACATTTTGCTTGCAACAAATATTTGCGAGCTTATACATTAACGAGTTCTTATAATTTAGCTGCATAGTAAACAAGCTATAAGAAATATATGTATTAAAAGAAGATATACTTTGCGAAGAAATTTTATAAAATATCGATGCAGATTTTATCGGATGCTGTAGTGAGTAATCTCACAAGAGCATTTTAACTCGAAATAATCTCTCTCACCATTTTCACTAATGTTCGCAGGGTAAAGGTCCAATGACCACTTATTGGTTGATGGGCGAAAAACCGACGAACAACAATGTGCAACAGACAAATCCCACAACGACCATCGGTCAAATATCGATTCTTCAGGATCAACCTCCCGTTACTACGCAAATTCAAACGACGCAATTGAAACAGCAGGAGCAACGAGCGCACTCGACCGCCAGCCAGCAGCACAAATTTCAGGGTCAGCCGGACCAGCCGTATCCGACGCAGCAATCGATTCAGTCGAGGAGCCAGGAGCCGCGGCAGCAGGGACATCCGGGTCAACAGAGACCGCAGGAGTCGCAGCACCAGGGTTTAATGACCGCCCAGTCGCGGTGCCAAGCGGTCCCGACCAATCCGTCGTCGGCCACGAACCAGATTCAGAGCCAGAGATCCACGACGGTTAATAATCCCGCCTGCGGTCTCGCTGGCGTGACCGGAAACGGCGCGCCGAAATCGGTGGTCGTGTCGCGTACCGTCGTCGCGACGCCGATCGGCAACTCGTCGCCGTCTCGCACTCGCACGAGCGGACCGCCGAGCGCGAACAACTCCATGCACCAGGTATACCCGACGGCCGAGAGCATGCCCAACCACACCGAGAGCGGTCCCAACGCGCCGCTCCTGCTACCCGCGGGCGCGGTCCCCAGGGTCTAGTTCTCCTAATATGTTTCTCCTCCCGGCGATGTTCGACTTGCCAGCTATCGAGCCTCCGAACGATATCGCGAGACAGCCAAGCCGGATCGATGCTCGGGTTCGTTGGTGGGAAAGCGAAGTATAATCGTGGTCAAAAAGTGAACGAGAGCGAATTGTGCTGACAGAAACGGACTTGTAAGCCGAGGGATTTTTGTCCGTCATCCTGCTCTATCGAAGCTTTTAAAATTCAGATTCTTCGTTCCCTGGGAGTAATCAAAGTGATTTGTGAACATATCGTGGCAAAAAGTTGTCTTCTTATCAGATTTACGACGAAGGTGCTTGTCTTGAATTAATTAACGTTAGTTTCACGACTTGTTTCTTGATTTCTAGAAAGTCCCAGTTACAAATTAGGATTCTAGATAATCAGCTAGAAGTGGAAGATTTGCTTTTTCATACCGTAAATATTGACTATGTTATTCGCATTGCGATAGATGTAGCTGAACAAGGCGGGACCGACTCCAAGTTCGCTGAAAGTGATCTCTTCTTACAAGGTATTATGGAACCAACGTTTACCGATTAACGCAATTTAGAATAAATACGTGTGTATCGCGCGAGCCAATCGCGCGATGAGGATGGACAATGAGGATCATTGGATCGGATGATTCAAACTCAGAAGAAGAGAGGAAGGGACAATTAATTAGAGAGAGAGAGAGAGAGAGAGAGAGAAAGAGGTGACGACCGGGCGACGTACTTTTGCCGAGGGCACTTATAGTCTTCTGTATACGGACACAGTATTATACCGGTCGTGCGTGTGCGCATTTTATTTATTCGTACCAAAGCGAGAATACATTCGCGTCTCCCCGTTTACGCGCGTATGTCCCCATGCGATTCATTTGCGACGGCACGTAAAAACGGGCTTAGCTTGCAATTAGCGGCAGGTTTTCCCGAAGTTTAGCCGCAGCCGATACTTGACTCCCGTCGAGCCTTATACGCCGAATTAATTAAGATCCGATCGCAAACGCAAGCGAATTTAGGTTCTCTGTCTTTGCGAGGATCTTAGAATCCATTTTACAAAAAAAAAAAATGATCATGATTGACTGAATCGTCTTTCTCTGTCTACAATCTACATTATCGTTATTGAGAAGCAGTTATTGAGAAAAGGAGAGAAATAATTAAAGTCAAAATTTATTGAGATTGACGAGGTTGACTTAAAGTTCGGAACGTAAGGGATAGAACGATAAATTTTCTCCGACCAAAGCGCATGTTACACATTCTGTAGAAATACTTGCGTATAAGCTTCTTCCAATATAACTTTTTTATTAAATTGTAAAATATTTTTCGCATCCTTCCTCGTTTACGGAATCGCGAGTAAGCATCACGAAAGAGACATAGCTCGGCCACAGTGTTTATCGTCGCATGCCCGACATGACAAATATTTTACAGTTCGCAACGCGTCCGCGAGACCCGCGCGAACACAGAATTCCGTACCTATCGCACGTGTGTAAGGATGTTATATATAAAATATATAAAAGAGAAAAAAGATATATATATATATATGTATACGCAAAATACATGTATATGTTAACGAGATTAGATTATATATATATATGTATATGGCTGCAAAGGCAAAAAGTTACCGTAGCTAAATTATATCGGTGTTTAGGGCCACTCGTGGCGAAACGTGAGAGGCTGGGCCTCTCGCGAAACGAGAGTCTGTGACGTGTCTGAGAAATTAATATCGATTGCGGGTGCATATATATCTGCGAATGCACACACGGAGCCACACATACATATACACACACATGTATACATACGTATACGAGACAGGTATGGTCATGTGCGGTCGCAATTGCATACCCGTGTTTAATGTATGAACAAACGGTGTAGGTGGCTGATGATACTCCGCGGTCGTCCTGCTGTAAACGTGGTGTGGTGACACGAGGGGTGTGACGCATCGTGAAGAGTGAAATTCTATCTGTGTCAATCTCTCTTTCAACGATGTATCAATGAATATTCCGAAAATAAAGTTTAATCGTTTTCAAGATCGATCTAGTTACCTCGGTGTCCGCAATCGAATGGTCATTTAATAAACTCTCTTTTCTTCATACGTCGCATGACTGACCAGAGGATTGTTTTATCTGCAGACGGGGATGCATGTCTCTTACGTAAGTACAAGAAAAGTCTAAACGTACGTGTATAAAAATAGAAAAAAAATCTTTGGCACGTGAGAACGGCGGCAAAACATGACTCTCAAAACACGGCGTTCGCGAATATCCAATCGAGGTAAGAGCTCACACGGGTATAAATCCCCGGATATCCGGGTTCACCGCAGCGAATCCCCCAGGATACTATCCCGATGTTGACCCACCTGCCGTTGGCGAGCTGATGCAGCAACGGACCGCCCGAGTCACCCTGAAAGAAGGAGCCGGTTTATCGGATCTGGCGATATAATTAAAATAGAGCCGTCTTTCTCTCAACAGTTAAAATAGATCTTTCTCCTCGCAGTAAAAAAAGAACTGCTAGTGCAGTAAAAACTGCTATATCAGCAGTGCCACTACTACATTTCAGTAGTGTTAGTCACTGCGCTAGTAGTTCTTTTTTACGAAAGTCTCGACACCTCCCTTAAGTTATCTTAAAATATTAATGGATTTCAGTCAGGAAAACGTCCATTAAAGATGAAACATCTTCCTGGCTAGTCTGCGCTTAACATTTCATCACATCACCGCGGCGCTCTTTTCCGAAATGAATAATTTATTGTCTCACTTGACAGGCGTCGCGGCCTCCCTCGTAAGCGCCAGCGCACATAGTAGTATTTGAGATTTGTTGCGTGAAGCTGCGAACGCATCTTTCTTGGGGCCATACCGGCACCGCGGCTTCTAACAGCACTGTACTAGCGGGTCCACCGTAGTACTGCGTGCCCCAACCTAGTAAAAATGTTTCTGATTTTCAGATTGTGAAAACAACTTTGAATGCTTTGACTTCTTTCGCGTATTCCGCGCCATTCAGCAGAGATGAGTCAGGAAAACTGATCGTTTCACGGTAAGTTTATGTTCACTATGAAAAAAATATTTTCTGCGGTATCAATAACAGTATGAATAACGGTATAAATTTCGCTTATCGAGCAGAATTAAATAAATCTGAAATTTCATATGTAACGCGTTATATGTTTTCGTTGATTGGCAGTCAAAAAAATAATCCAAAAAATAAATAAATGTGCGAGTGATACAGGTTTGAAAATTAACAGTTATCTTGTTACTATTTTCGTTGATGTATTTAAAAAGTAACATACACATTTATTTGTACTGACCAGTAACGATGGCATTCTTATTCTCGAACGATTGCTGAATAGGCGGGAGGCAGATGGGCCAGATGTAGCTGTTAAATACCGTAGGTCGATGAATCTTAATGATAGCGATGTCGTGCTCGTATGTGCTCAATTTGAAGTCCCTGTGTATCCGTATCTCCGTCACCATGAAATCCAACGCCCGCGTCTCCTCGGACGTAGTGAAATCGTACTCGCCGAGTCTCACCGTGATGTCGTGCAGTTTGAATCTGTAAAAGTACGACGGCGCGGGATAACTGTAACTCATTCCCATAGATCTAACTGTTCATTTCGCGGTTACGACAAAGCGAGCGCGTATCGCGCGTTAGAGTCTCTGACGAAGATAACAAAGAAAATGTGCCGCGCGGCGCGCCGAAAACATTATAAAGTCTAAGCGCGATCGCCGTCAACCGTGACCGCAAGAATATGAATGTGTTGCTGAATGTGTGTCTGAAATATCCGTCCAGATCGTAACCTTTGCTCGTAAACTGTGAGGTATGAGGACGTATGCATGTGTCCCGAAGTGAATATGCATATATTTCTTTTTTTATTGCAACCATTTGCCGCAGTTCTTTTTTTTTTTTAATGCGGTCACAACCGATTCTCTGCACTACTTAAGTTCACATTAAAAATTACAGCGCGAACTTTGTTCTGTTGATCTATTTATATACATATGGAAAAAATTATGATTGAAATAGGAAGAATTTTTGGTTAATATGTTATAATATAACAAGAGAATGTGAAACTATTAATTAGCGATTAAAATTAAAGTATTAAGAATCTGTTTTTGACTGTTAAAGATTGTTAATAGCCTCAATGAATATTACACGACAGTTTACCTGTAAACGCAGTGCGCGGCGGTAAGTACGTGTCTATCAGTGATCAATACACCTCCGCAGTACTGAATCGCGCCTTGTCTGAGAAGAGCCGCCATCCACGGCCACTCTTTAGGGTCAGCCGGTTGGCCACCCGCGATTCTGATCTTCGTTTTCGTGGTCATGCCGCACCCTCTGGGTCTTCGTGGCTTCCTCGTCTCTTGCTTGGTCATGTCTGTCTGCAAATTCGCATCGCCGTGCGCTGTCTTGTTGACAGGTGGCTCGTTCTCGTCCACGTTCCCGTGGGTTTCGTTCCACTCTTCTTTGTCGTCGAGACCTGCGAGGAGAAGAATTTGAAGTACACACACGTGGCACTCTTGCTCCCTAAGCGAGACACTTAATAGCACGAGTACCGCGATAGACGTCGATGTTTGTCATGAAAGCGCACGTGTATAGCACTTTCATCGAGATGCTTTCAGTTAGCCAATAAAAAACGTTTATACATATTTATCGCAAGGAGCTTTACACAGATATACGGTTTATTCAATTGAAAAGAATTATTTCTTAATTGTTGTTATCACATAAAAATAATCTTACGATATCTAAATAATTTAATTAAATTTTAATACAATTGATCAAAATTGTTCTCAAACGAGTAATTAAAATTTATACGAACTCGCTATCGCCGGTAACTTGCTAGCTAAATCATCGTGGAACGTTTTTTCCGATCGAACTATCACGACGTTATCCGGACAGCATAAACCAAGGTATCTGCAAGAAAGACATTAATAAGAACGATCGATGTATGAAAACACACAATGTAAGCTTACGTCTCCTCAATTGAACACGTATGATTCCAAAATTGTACAAGGGTCGAAGAATCCTGGAGCTCCTCCGGTGTAAAGCATCCCAATAAATGCATGCAGTGGCCCCTTTGATTGTCTGGTGCGATGCAAGCTTGATATTTTTGCTAGTAGAAAAGAACGTAAAAAACAATAGACCAAAGACGAGCAAATAAATCTAATGGATGTTCGATAAATTATTTATTCATGCAATGTATCGCGATACTAGTTTCAGCCTGACTAGGCCTTTTTAAATCGCATTAATTTGAACACACAAAAAATAAATAAATAATTAAATTAACACATATTATAAAATATTACGCACTCAGTCAATAATTAAAAAATTAAAAAATAATAAATAAACGCTGTCGGTGAATCCCACATGATGGAGAAAAAATATACATATAAGATCGGAAGAGCA